AAGACAGTGGTATTATATTCAATCCAAGTGTCAAAAACGAAAGTGTATTTGGTTTTTCACCAGTCTCTGTTAAGAAGCCTTCAGTCATCATATTTCAGTCTTTATTTGGTTGATCTAGAAAAACCTCACTAATTGACTGATCATAATTGACTACAAAAAGAGTCTTCAGTAGCAGATACAGTAAATTTGTAAGATCAACCATTTCTGGAATGCAAAACTTCTTGGAGAAAAAGTGTATCCAAAGCATAGACTGTATAAAGAAGTGGACAAAGGGAGTGTGACTGCACCCAGCATTTGGCTCTAGTCAAATGAAGCTCATCGAAGCTAGCAGTTATAGGAGCGAATTTGGAGCCAAGGTTTCATATTAGAAATAATAATTGCTGTACGGACAAAATAGCAAAATAACACCAGCATCATGTAGAGTGGCAAACACAAAAGCAAATGCAAACATTGGATTAAAAAAACTATTAAGATATGTAAACAAGCCCTGTAGACAGTCAACAAGTATGAGGGGTCCTATAAGCTTTCAAGGACCTGGGATGCTGTCCTGGAGACGTCGGACTGCAGATAGTGTGATTCCACTACCAATGCAGGAAGGAGAATGGTGCCAAAATCTGTGTAAATTGCAAGAGACGTCACCGCAACATCACGTGACCCTTGCTACATGTCAATGTCTCTCAAAAAGAACCTTTATTTGGTTATGTAGTGCAGGTTAATATGAACATTTTAAGACCAAAATGAGGAGATTGACAGCAGCAGTTACAGAGAGAGGGGCGACAGTTTTTAAAAAATAAATGAATTGGAGCCATAGTCGATGGAGCCGGAAGCGCACCCATACTCACATCATATTTCGAACACAGAGGCGAGAATTTTTACTATGTTCATTTATATATACAATCTATGATTTAAACTCAATTTTAGTCATGATTTTCTGTAATTTTCATTTTTGTTTTGACTTTTCACCATTCAAAACATACAATATTTTAATTGAATTGTCAATTGCTATGGAGACTGGCCTAATCTTATCTTTTTGCAACTTATATTTGGCCTATGTGAAAATGCCCTATAACCAGATAAGTCTACACTCTATTTTTTGCTGTTGGTTTCCTTTATTGGTTTTGCAGAATCAACCGTTTTGAGTTTTCTCACCTTTGACCTTTTATATTTAGTTCAGTAGTTTTTGGATTCAGTGTTGTGTTTACACTCTACTTTTGAAAATTGTTATAGTTGCTATTTCATTATTTTTATATTATTTTTTTTCCATTTCCCGTGAAAACACCAGTAAACTAAACTTCATAACTCCCAGCTGTTTAAATAGGCCTTCTATTTGGGTTCAATTACTGTTTACTTTTTGTAATCATTTCCTCTACTTGGCAACTTTTGGATATTGTTCTTGCTTTTTAAATAGTTGGCTTTTCTCATTTGTCTCCTCTTCAGTGTTGACCTTTTGGCCTTTGAAACAGTGTCCTATGTTTTCATTTCCATATCCCTGCTTTTGGGGTGTGTACACATTGCAGTACTTGGTAATTTGAGTAGATGACTGTTGATAAATGTTTGGCTGTTCTTATAAGTCATCTGGTGCCAACCTCTTGAGTAGCCTAAAGTTTTTATACTTCAACCATTGGAGCACCTGGACTTCTTTTTGGTGCCAACTTGATTTAGCAGCTTGTGGAAATTGCTGGATTGATAGCTACACAAATCTTGCAGGTATTTTTCTTTCACATTTTAGAAGGATTATATTTTTCAAGGCCTCCTTTTAGGTGTCAACTTGTTTTGTCAATTTCTGGAGATTGAGAGCCTGTTTACATGAGAACGCCTGCTGGTAAAAAAATGGCAAAATATTTGATCAGAAGTGCTTTTTGTTTAGACGGTCATGGTGTTTTGGGGGCTTAAAAACGCAAAAAGTTGAATACGCTCCACCATAGCATTTCCGTCTGCACTGCCCAAGATGCAAAACTCTGGTCAGATCTGCTCACCTTACATACGTGTTTATGTCACATACAGTACACAGAAACCTGACATGCATACCCAGTTGAATTCCACACACTTTTGCATCAGATTTCCTCCCGAAAATGTAGAATAAAAAGTGAAGATGCGATGCCACTTTTTCACTTCTGTTGAAATTGTCATCATATAAACGTAGCCATATATACAAAACTCTAAACTTTAGTCCAGTGTCGTTTTACAGCAAGTTTTGACCCATTCACACAGCTGTAGACTTTAAACATTTGGGTCACATGCTTAATTCTCTGCTGTTTTTCCTCATCTTAACCTTTCAAAATTTTCAGGGGTTTCCATTTTGGTTAACATTGACCCATTGAAACACCTGCAAATGTTGTAAACTTTGGAGTCACCTCCACCTTTGACCTTTCATATTTAGTAGGATTACATTTTAAGGCCTCTTTTCTGTGAACTGATTTGGTAACTTTTGAGATTGCTGGATTGAAAAATATTCATTATGCCTATCTATACCAACTTTTAGCGTAAAGTTTTGACCATTTGAAACACCTGTAGACTTTGTAAACATTTGTAAATTCTCTGTTGTTTTCAAACTTGGAACTTTCACATTTAGTAGAACAACATTTTGAGGTCTCCTTTTTGTGGTCAACTAAATTTGGTAACTTTTGGAGATAGCTGGATGGACAAACATTGATTAGCCCTATATACCAAGCTCAGAGTAAAGACTGTAGACTTTGTAAACTTTTGAGTCACCTGCTTCAATCTTCGCTGTTTTCTCATTCTCTTTTTCCTTCCATATTTTAGAAAGATACTTTTTGGGGCTTCATTTTCATGGTTAATATGATTTGGCAATTCTTGAGGATTGCTGGACTGAAAAAATAGTTAGGCCTTATCTATGCCAACCTTTACAGTAAAGTTTGACCCATTGAAACACCTGTAGACTTTATAAACATTGTGGTCAAATGCAAAGTCTCTGCTGTTTTCCCACCTTTGACCTTTACACATTTTCAGGGCCTCTTTTTTGTGGTCAACCTGCCAACTTTTGTAGATTGTTGTAGATATTGTTTGATATTGATATTGGCTATTATTCTGCCAACCTCTATACTCAACAGTAAAGTTTTGACCCAAACACCTGTAGACTTTGTAAACTTTGGAGTCACCTGCATCACTGCTATACTCTGTTTTTTCACCTTTGACCTTCTGTATTTTAACAGTTTTACTTTTTGGGGCCTCCTTTTGTGAGTTGATTTGGAAACTTTTGGAGATTGCTTGATTCACAAACATTGGTTATCAGCCTTAGCCTATTATTCTATACCAAACTCTACAGTGAACTTTTGACCCAATGAAACACCTGTAGACTTTGTAAACTCTGGGATGACCTGCATTATTCTTCCCTGTTTTCTCACCTTTGACCTTTCATATTTTGGTAGAACTATTTTCCGTGGCTTCTCTTATGAGGTCAACCTGATGTGGCAACTTTTGGAGGTTGCTTGATTCATATTATTCTGTACAAACCAACGCTCTGAAAAAGTTTGACCGATTGAAACACCTGTAAACTTTGTAAACTTTGGGATCACCAATAGGTCACCCTACATTAATCTGTCATTTTCTCACTTTTGACCTTTCAGATTCATCTGGGCCTCTTTTTTGGTTTCAACTTGATTTGGTAACTTTTGAAAATTGCTGGATTGGTAAATGTTACTCTATAGGTCTACCAACTTTTACAGTCAAGTTTTGACCCATTGAAACATCTGTAAACTTTGTAAATTTTGAGATCACCAATGGATCAACCTGCATTAATTTGCCGTTTTCTCACCTTTGACCTTTCAAATTCTTCAGGGCCTCTTTATTGGGGTCAACTTGATTTGGTAACTTTTGGAAATTTCTGGATTGGTAAATGTTATTCTATAGGTCTACCAACTTTTACAGTCAAGTTTTGACCCATTGAAACATCTGTAAACTTTGTAAATTTTGGGATCACCAATTGATCACCCTGCATTAATCTGCTGTTTTTTCACCTTCGACCATTCAAATTCTTCAGGGCCTCTTTTTTTAGGGTTAACTTGATTTGGTACCTTTTGGAAATTGCTGGACTGGTAAACATTATTCTATAGGCCTACCAACCTTTACAGTAAAGTTCTGACCTTTAAAAACACCTGTAAATTTGGTAAATTCTGGGATCACCAATGGATCACCCTGCATTAATCTGCCGTTTTCTCACCTTTGACCTTTCAAATTCTTCGGGGCCTCTTTTTTAGGGTCAGCTTTATTTGGTAACTTTTGGAAAGTAGACATTATTCTATAGGCCTCCCAACGTTTACAGTAAAGTTTTGATCCATTAAAAAATCTGTAGACTTTGTAAATTTTGTGATCACCAATGTGTCACCTACATCTGCAGTTTTCTCATCTATGACCTTCCAAAATTTCCAGCAGCCTCTTTTTGGGGTGAACTTCATTTGGTGACTTTTGAAAATTGCTAGATTGATACAATATTCTATATAGGCCCACCTGCCTCAACAGTAAAGTTTTGACCAATTGAATCACCTGTAGACTTTGTGAACTTTGGGGTCACTTACATCTTTCCTCTCAGCACATCCCATCACATTACTTCATCCATCACTTATGTGGACTGTAGTTATGGCCGCTTGTATACAGTGCCGTGCGCGCGCATACATGTAAACTTACCAACCCAAGTCATGTGGCGCACACGCACGCACTGCGCACATGTGACGCCTCCTCTCTCTCCCTCTCCGCTGTATCTCTCATTTTGGAGTTATGCTTATTGTAGGATCTCTGTGTGGCGACTATTATGGGATGGCAGATCAAGGTGGGAGGGGCCCGTGGTGGTGCGAGTATCCATGGCAACCTTTGAGGGAGGGGGGGCGCGCGCTGGAGGAATGGGGAAGAGAGTGTAGTGCGTGCACGAGGAAGGGAGGGAGGGGGTGAGAGCTGACTATTATGGTCTGTACGGTGCAAGGTAAGTATGCAGAGTGGGGGAGGGGTGGCCGAGCGAGCGGAGGGGGGGTATTATGGGATGTCTGCCCCCTGATCTCTTTGTGTGTGTGTGCGCGCACTGAGCGAGGGAAGGGAGACAGAGGAGACACGGCTAGTCGTGCACACACGCTACCACGCATAAAACACGGAAATATACGGACAATATTAACAAAAGAACCGGCCGATAAGTATTGATTGATTGACAAAGTGAGGTTGGAGGAGTTACTGTCCCTGGAACCAAGTTGTAAGTACATCAGTTTGGGGCTTTTGTTGTTGAGGAGTGCGCCGAGGTGGCCTGCTTGGATGCCGGGTACTTGGCTCGCTTTCTCTTTACTGTCGATTAAACAATTCCTTATTTTTTGTAGATATTTCACGCTTTTGACCTCATTTTGTATGCTAAATTTGCTAACTCGTTTGCTAATGAAACGGGAACTAATCTACGATGAGATGTCAAATTACAAACACCTCCACACTGCGCGTTTTTGAACTTGAAAACCTTATAAACTTAAAACAATCGCTCTTAAATCAGGCAGGATATAGTTGTAGTTTAATTGATCACGTTTAATCATTAGTTTTGAAACGAAACAACTGCTAAATATTGACTTCCCTTATCCCATCTTTTTGTTCTTGCTTCTTTTCCATAAACAGAACCAACAACTCTGGATTACCACAAAGATTATCAACTTTATTTTGGTTAGCTGAAGTCTTCGGCTAACTAAAAAGTTCGGTGCTATGTCTGGAAGTGAGGATGATCGAGAGGACTATGGAGCCGCCGATGATCGCTTAATGCACGGTAAGACGAGCCTCGTTTGTTAGCCTGAAGTTGCTAATGGGAGACTGGTTAAAAATGCTAGCCCGGGCAGATGTTTTGACGTTCATATCAATCATGTTTGGAGAGCGTGAGCAATGTGCCGGCTATGAACGCAATAAATCCAAGGCATTTCGACCGGGGGTGTGCCTTCTGAACCCGCCTACGTCTCTCGCTGCTTTCACTTAGTAGTTGAACGTAAATGTGATGTTATTTTGGAATAAACACCATAAAGTGATGTTTAAATAGTATATTATTAACATTATTTATTGGTATAGCTAGATATTAAGTTACGTGTTCTTTGATATAGAATTTGAGCAAGTTTGATGTTACAGTTTGTAGCTATCTGTGTCCAAGTAGTTGAAAATATATACTGATCATAACTCATTCAGTATGCTTTCTTCCTAAATGTATAATTATCCCTAAATTCATTGATAATCTCGACAGATTTCTGATATTGAGGATGGATGTCCTTGTTTGCTTGTTTTGGAAATTATTAATTTAATCGTCAAACTGGTCATGATTATGGTTTGGAATAGGCCTAGGTTCAGTGTTATGTAAATTATGGTTGAGGAATAGGGATTGGGTTTGTTGATTCGATAATTTACATTACAAAAAGTGCCAGAAACTTCACATTTGTCACTTTGTCCCTTGTTTCCTGCGCTGAGATTTCAAATCACTAAACTAAGCATACTCTTAATCTGTTTTCTAACAACAATGAAACTCGTTTTCATGTTTTTCAGTCTATAATTTAAACCCAAATGATCAAAAAGTTGAACGAGTGAGCGGTGACGTGAAGTCCCGCCTCGAACGAAATGCCTGGATTCTAAAATGCTACGTGCTAGGCTAACTGCCGGTATGCTAAATGCTAATATTAGCGGCTACGTCAAACTCGCAGATTTTGTGGACGCGCTGAATATATTCTGGGCTATTTACACTAGAATAAAATGGAATAAAAAGAAAAACATCTAAGTAAGAGTGAAAGTAAAGGAAAATATAGCATTTTTATCTGAAACCGGCTTGTTCCCGGGGCCTAGCGTTAGCAGCTACCGGTATATTTTACGTTGGCGATGACAAGATGGAGTCAGCCAGTTAGCTTTACGGACCGGAGGATGACGTTCACAATCTTATTATTTTTTCTATGCAGTTTATTTTTCCCGCTTTCCTATTGTGTATATACCTTTCACATTTTATCTACAGTGGGTGTTCAACATCGTGCGTCCCGTTATAGCACATTTTAGAGTTTATAGATCGATTTGTGGTAGCTTGATGAAAAGTCCCGTAGCTTCCCGAGCCCACGACCATGCGCTCGTGTTGTGAAGAAAGCCAGATACACAAAAGAGTGTATATTTAGTCAGGCCATTCAAATACGAGTTTGTATTGTATAAAACGCGTCAGTTCAAAGAGTGTTGTTTGAGAAAAAGCATTTGTCCAAATCTCGCGTTGTTTATTGTTTGCATAATGAGCTTCTCGTGCACGCGCATCAAACAAGGCCAGACCGCAGAGAGAACAGATAGTCCTAAGAGTCGACTCCAAGTGTTTCAATGGATTATCAATGCTTTGGGAAAAATAATTTACAAAATCAGTTGCCCAAAGTGTGTCTTTCTAAGTTGCTTGTATATTACTTGACAAAGTTTGTGCCCCAAGAATGATGCAAATAGACTTATTTTTTATTTTTTTCTAAATGAAGAGTCATGGAAATTAGGCTTAATCATCATAGATCTGTGTCTATCGTAAACATTGTGCTAAAATTAACCATACATATCCATAATGTCAGCAGTACTTTGTGCTGTTAAAACAATACACTTATAACTGCTACTACTAATACCAGTTTCTCATCTACACCATCTCCAAATGTATATAAACTCGTCCTTAGTCTTCACTCTCCACTGGTGGCAATTATAAAAAAATTTCTATACAATCCAGTCAACTGATGAAGCCCGTTTATCACAAAATTACCAAATCAAATTGGATTGCACAGCTCACCAATAAATTTGCGAAATTTGCGAAAGGCGTTATAATAACTCATTTGATAACATAAACTCAATAGCTGCCATATTTGTCATAGACAGTGTTGAGAAGTAAATAATTCTACCAAAAATACGTATTCATACATATTGAATATTGTGAGTAGGCTAACTGTATTCTGGTACTGTTACACTGGTACTTTACTAAATTAAAGGGAATACTTGGCAGTTCTTTATCATACAATTTTGGCTTTGAACTGCATGGTATTGGTGCATGAAAAAATGAAAACAGATTTTGCAGTGCATTTTTTATCTCTAATTAGACATAAATTAATGCATAAGAAAGTGCAAAAAAAATAAAACTGTTTGTAATTATAGTCATGTTTGTTACTCTATAATATGATGCAACTCGATGTTCAAGCATTCAAAGTATTCAAAATACAATACTCTGATTGACCAACGTAACAGAGGATGCTTTACAAAATACATTGTAGTATTGTAAGAATTCTTCCCATCACTGGTCATAGATTTGTCCAAAAATAACATTGTGCATTGAGCTTGTAATTCTGATTTAGTTGAATCTTAAAGGATTTGTTTATTTTTGCTTTCAAATAGTTAAATTGTGCAAAGTTATCTATATAATACAGGCATATGATGAAGCCTGTTTGTACATTTAAAGGACATTGTGCAGCTCCCTAACAAATTTGCCATTTCACTAATAACTAATATGATAACATCAACACAATATTTTCCATAATTTTTGTTTAATTTTATTGCAACTGAACTCCCCGGTTCAACAACTTCCTCTGTAGTTTGTCATTGTCAACCCTTATTTGTGTTGATTCAGTGAATCAAAAACATTTCACCTTCAGTTTCATATTGACATAGTAAGTAGCCTTCAACATGACCAAAAATCCACCCTAGGCTTAACATTGTTCGCAAAGGGTTATTATAATTATATCTAACCAATTCTATCTTTTACTTATGCAGACGATGAAGAAGAGGATATTTCAGAAAATGAAACGCCCAAAGTGAAAAAGAAGAAAAAGGCCAAGAAGAGTCGTGAAAGTAAAGGCAGCAAGAGGCGGTCGAGACGAGAGGTGAGTGCCATCGTGCTGTGAACTTCAATGCTAGCACAAGGTGAAGCTGCAAATGTGTAGTGTTGAATGAGGCTGTGAACTGTTTGAGAATATGCTTAAAACATCTTGGTAATGTGAAGAAAGAAAAGCTAAACTAGTTCAAGCTTCAACAGCGTGGTCTGAAATGTTCTGTTGGAAATGTCTAAAATGTGTCAAGATTACTTTGGTCATCTGGATAAAATGTTTCAAGAAATGGTCTAGAATAATACTCTTTTTAGTGCTTTAGTTTATATTTTAGTGATACTTAAGTGTTTTTGAAAAGACAGATAATCAACAAATTGCATTCAATAGTAAATCTTTATAGTTTTGCTGTAAATTAGAAAAGCGTATGTGACTTCAAAAACATTATACACTGTACAATATTGTTGACAGGAAACATTACCTTTTGTAAAATAAGACTTTAAAGAGCACTATGTAATTTTTCTAGTGGAGAGTCAGCCATGTGCTTGACTCCGTGGCAGAATTATTACTTTTTCTAAGTTCCACACTACATCCATTAAGTGTTTTTATTTGCTGAAATACCTTGAAAACACACATCTATCTGTGAATGGGGTAGTCTCTCCACAGTTTTGACAAGTAGTTTGGCCTGGTTGCATCACCTACTTGTGTCCATGGAGATAGAGAAGTTTAATTAATTTAAAGCCACTGTACCTGATCTTAAAAAAACATATAAAAAACGTTTACAGTGATAACATACCATATGCATTCTGAGCATAATAAAGCTGCATAATAAAGCTAATTATTCACTGCAATGAGTTCATTATTGCTTTTCACAACTCTGAGTCCACAACAGTACTGCTAACACCCATCATGCTAACACGCACTTCCGGATCTCTAAAATTAGATGCAGACAGTACACAGCAGACTTAATTTGACATCATGGGACTGCACAATATATCTGGGCTGCGACAAGACACATTTTGTTGAAACACACGGAAAAATCAGATACAAGGTAATTAATGGTTTGTAAGTGACTCCTGTTTTCTTGTCCTTCAGGAGATGGCTGTCAGTTCCCCAGAGCCCATGGACACAGTGGGGACAGAGGAGGCAGAGGATGGCAGCGCAGTTCAGCGGTCCGACAGCGAGGGCAGCGATTACACTCCTGGACGCAAAAAGAAAAAACGTGCCAGCACCGGGAAAGAGAAGAAGAGGAGCAGCTCCAGTAACGACCGCAGCTCAAAGCGCAAAGACCCGGAACCCGAAGACGAGGAAGACGATGATGACGCGGTGAGAAAAATTCCCGACACAGCAGTTTTTAAAATCTCAGGATGTGAAAGTAGACCGGGAATATCAGATGTATTAAGTAATAATAATATCTCTAGGTTTCAGAATAATTAAATATGTATGAGCGTTACCATGGTGATGATAATTATAAAACAAACTAAATATTATATTTTTTAATCTGGAAATGTCCTCAAATGTTGCATATATCAGGAAGCTGAAAGACATGAAGACATTATATTAATATGGTTAGATAACATTATAAAGGAGCTTGCAATTGAGCTGAAGTGCGGGTAAGAAAGCTATGATAGAATTTGCCTTTAAAATGTGCCTTTAAACTGTCCTAATGCACATGTTTTGACTTGGTTTATGGTTAAAATCTCTAATACCTGGACTGTCTACATGAAACAAAAAATGACAGTTCAGTTTTGTGATATTACATTATAAAGGACCTATAGTTTAAACTGTGTAGGCAAGAAGTCTATGTTAAATTAGGGTTTTAGACTGTCCAAAAGCACATGTTTTGACCTGGTTTATGGTTAAAGTCTCTAATTACTGGACCTACCCACATGAAACAAATTTCAACATCTTCTCTGTCCGTAAAATGAAATTAGGTGGAATACTTCTCTCTCTTTCTAGCAATATTCAACCATAAAAGTGTGATTGGTGTCTATTGATAAGACCTGAAGCATTAAGAATGAAATATGAGCTTATGGACTCAATTGGACTAAATATCTGAGGACAAATTCGTAAAAAATAGATTGCCATGTGTGAAACAATACCGGCCACACCAAAATTTCATTATATCATTGTGAAATTTTGCAATCCTATGTCAATCTCCAGAGCTGTTTGTTACTGTAGCTAGAAAACTACAAAGACCATAACCCTTTGCTCTCTTGAAGTCCTCGCATTACATTTAAAGATGTTATATTCACTACTTATGATTATTACTCCATGTGTTTGTTAGTGAAGAAACTGTACTGACAATTTTTTTTGCATTTCTATATTTTCCCATGCAACATTTCTCCCCCACAAAAAATACTACAATTTAATACTTACTTTCTCAAGATTTATATTATCAGCGTAGTTTTAAACAGACCTATCCCTTGCAGGTAGTTGGCATTTTTGGCAGTGTTCAATTCCTGTATACAACCTCAGTCCTTTTTATTTTCTCATTTTTAACCACGTCACCTCTTGCATTATCATGACAGAAAACACATTTTTCCAGCAATTTCCGTTGGGACTTGGCTGCGATGCACATTAATCAATAATAGATAAGACACCATTTCACATTGCATCCTTGTCAGTATTTACTCCTATTTTTAGCTCAAGATGGCCGTATTTCCAGCTTTTTTTTGTTTAACCTGCGACACATTCCCAAAAAGCTGCAGAGAAGCCAAACAAAGGACTCCTGGACCTTAATTGCAGTCTTCTTACAGATATTACTGTTAACCGTCAGTGCAGAGTGTGATATGCAGTTTCCATGACAACACTGCACCACTTTTGCTGCTTTTGACCCCTTTTTTTACGATTACGTTCTGATTCATTCGTCTTGGATTAAAACAATAGTTAAGGGTCTTCCAGTAGACGGTATAATAATTGATCATGAATTGTGATTAGTTATGAGATTAATTGCAGTTGGCTAAAAATTACATTACATTTTGATACATTCATCTTGGATTAAAACGACGACTAAGGATCTTACAACTGGTGCATAATGGCTGATAATGTATTATGATTAGAGTATGATTAATGGAGCAAGATTAATTGTAATTGGCTAAAAATTATCTTGGCGTTCAACTATCCTTGCAAACAATAAGATATCATCTTTCCATGAGGTCCTATTATGTATAATATTTGCTGACCCCGTAGTTTTGACCTCTACAAACATTGTTCTGAAATACATGGAATTTGCATACCTGAAGTTTAGCAGTCATTTTCACTAAATTTCAGTAATTTCAGTAGTTTTCTCTCAAATGTTAATGCTTCTAGACATAACATATATTGTCTAATTTATTTGTCTAATCTAATCGCACTCACAATTTGATATATTGACCATAACTTTTTACTTAAGCCTTTTTTCAAACTGATAATTGATTGGATGACTACACATTTGAATTTTTATTTAGTCATCATGATGCATAGTAAAAAAAAATGGCACTGCTGTCGTCATCTTGTGAGATTCAAATTTAAAATGAGGTATTGACGCAAACTGATACTTATTCCGACATAAATAACGAGATGGGCAAAATCTTGCATTTTTCTCATCTCAGTTTTTATTTTATTTTGTCTGAAATAAATCTAAAATGTTTTTAATAACATAAACGCCATAACATAACATAATATAGCATAAACAACTACCAAAGTATGAACTCTGCTCTGAACTATATGCTTTTAGTGACCGAGGATTGCCTTTACATCTCTCCATTAAAACAACTGCATCTTTATTAAAATCTACTTACAGCACACTCTGTTTCTCCCCGTAGTTTCAAAAATGGTCTCTTCCAGGTCAATGATATAAAATTGGGTTAACATGTTTATTCTTGTGCTCTATTCAAGATAAGTACATAAGCGTCCCTGTATGAGGTATCCCATTATCCACTTCAATATTCACCATTATAATGAACAAAGACCTGCTCTCAAACTCTGCTTGATTGCTCTATTTCAGTAAAGGCTAAGCGCATCATAACATCGTCACTTGTACAGTTTAATTCTCTTTATAATAGCAGGCAAACGTCATAGAGGAGTTTGGGGAGATGTTTTTAGATCATCCAAAAAAGCCCAACCTTGCTTTCGTCAGTTCATTACATGTTATTGGCGCCATTTCACTTTAGTCACACTGAAAAGGTATATTTAGGGCTGATTTAGCACTGCATAGTATGGTTAAAAAGATGCTATATTCAACAACTGTTTGGTTTTAAGGTAATCATTTTAGTGAAATATCTTAATATACGCTTGATTATAAGTACAGTTAAGATGAAACAAAAGTACAGTACATGCTTTAATTAACCTGCTGCCTTTGGGTCATGGTTTAGTTAGTGTTAAGTAGGAATTGCTTAGAAAAATCATTGATAAATTGCAGCTTTTTATATTTTCAAAAAACAGTCAGTTTCTGTAAAATGGAGAATGTGGTGTTGTAAAATTGCCTCATACATTTTCTTGCCCCCTCCAAATGCCAGTATAATAGATAAGGGTTTCAGAAAAGTCCGTAATATAGCATATAACATGAATAAGTTGTTGATAAATTCTTGCTTTAGTGTTACTTGTTGGTGATTGTCTACATTAGTCTTATGTAAGGTGTGTGTCTTTGTATTTTAGGAGCCTAAGACTTCCTCACAGCTGCTGGACGACTGGGGCATGGAGGACATTGACCATGTGTTTTCTGAGGAGGATTACCGCGCACTCACAAACTACAAGGCCTTCAGCCAATTTGTCAGGTACTGAACAATGCTGTAAACCTATGTCTAGCACGTTCTGTGGTTTGGGGTATTTTTGTACTGGGAGTTCAAGCTGCATGCATGTTTAAGGTGGAATGTTCGTGGTGCCATGGTGACACACTGCCGCACATTAGCAAACACAGCCGGATAAGTTTTTAGATTCAGCTCAAGAATATAAAACAGATTTAAACAGCACATTTTCAGGAGCCTGTAATCAGTTTGAGACTTCACTGCTTTCAGGAGTTTTTTCCACAAAAAGGTGAGCGTGACTAACTGAAAAAAACTGTTGGCCAATGCCAGCTTGTGACTGTAAAGTTATGTTATGTAAAGAGGAATTTAACAGCTCAGATCAGCTCACCTTTTGTGGTTGCAGCTAAGTCGATTCTTTAACGGTCAGATTGTGTTAAAAATAAAGCGTAGATTAAAATCTAACTTGAGTAACAGCTGCAAAATATCAATAATGTTGTGCTTAATATTTTGGCTAGACTATATCAAAATTGGGACTAAGCTTAGACTAGATCAGGACTATAATAGGACCAGAATAGACCAAACTAAGCTATCAGAATTCAACCATGAAAACTCCTTAATCCTGCTTAAATCCAACTTTATTGTTTCTACTTTCTGGTAAAGACCTATGCAAAATTGGCTTTGTCATAAACGAGACACCACTTTCTCTCTCCCCAGACCACTTATCGCTGCAAAAAACCCAAAGATCGCCGTGTCAAAGATGATGATGGTTTTGGGGGCGAAGTGGCGCGAGTTTAGCACGAATAACCCTCTGAGGGGAGCGGCCGTGGCCAACGCTGCCCTGGCAACGGCAAATCCCCTCCACTGTGGAAAACATGGTGTCAGAGTCTGCCCCTGCAGCAGCGCCCCCTGCAGCCCCAGAGCAACCCGCCGCTCCACCTGTACGCAAGGCCAAGACCAAGGAGGGCAAAGGTGAGGATATTAAAGGATTAAAGTACCTTAGCGTTGCATACTTCTGCGATAGGCTTGCTTAGTTGGTACATTCCCCTTTCTATATCTCTGTACCTTTTCTAAAATTAGTTTTCATCAAAAAGCCAATTTTTAGAACTGATTCTTATAACTTCAGATTGAATGTTTTTATTTGGTTTTATAGAGTTGTCTGAAGTTTCCACTATCAGATACGAACCAATACTAAAACTAATATTGAAACAAGATAATCATTTAAGCAAGTACTGATACTGAAAAAAGTTACACAAACAAAAACTATGAAAACTAAAAAAATGTTTGTTGAAAATTAAAATGTTCTCAAGAAAGAGCTTTTAAAATGATTCCTTTGTAGTAGTACTTAGCACTTCCTAATATTAACTTCAACACAGCAGATGGTTTAAAGCGGGTAATGGATTGCCTTTGTTCAGAAAGCAGTGACTGAATTGCTTTTGAAGATGGTGTATTCAACTTGCACTATTGGTTTCAAACTTTTCTACACAAAAAGCATGAGTACAGTCCTTCATAAACACATGACGCTCTTTTTGTCTGTTCCAGGACCAAACGCACGCAAGAAATCCAAATCTGCCGCTAAACCTCAGGAGAAGAAAAGCAACGCCAAAACTAAGAAAGTGGCTCCACTCAAAATCAAACTGGGAGGATTCAACAAGAGGAAACGCTCATCGGTACCAAAGCACTGCACATTTGTACACTTAAGATATTGATGTCTGTTAGGACAGCCCATCCCACATATATATATTTTTTTAACCTTCCTGGAATTGGTAATTGGATTATAGTTCTGCAATTCATCCAAAATGTGCTGGAAAGTTCCTGTAAATGTCTTGGTTGAGGTCCAGAAATTGCAGAAAGTAAATGGACTATAATTAACAATAGTGCAGAAACATCACATTTTAGAAATTAACACTGCAAGTTTCATTTTATTTCATTAATCTGTTCTTTGGCAGTCTTTTGTCTTTTAAAGTTAAAGAATTAAGTTGTTTTATATAATCATTTCTAGGGATGCAACGAGCCAGCCTTTTCAGTTCTGTTACCAATATTGATACGTGGCTTTTTTTATCTGTCGATACCTGATATTAACCGATACTAGCATTGGGACTGATTTTTTTTTTTCATAATTTTCCATCAAAACACAGTTAAGTTAGTACAAAATGTATCCAATTGTGCTATTCATCTAGTAGCAACTATTGAACAGCTTTGTTAGAATAAGCGTTAAAACCTTTTGAAAGGTTTTAGGTCAGCATTTGCCAGTAAATAGACTTATTACATTCAATAAAATTACCATGAGGATATCGGCCGACACGATATCACTGAGCCAATACTCGATTCAGATAATTTCCTAGACTGGCGCTCATATTCAATATCAGTATCAGTAACGATGCATCTCTAACCATTTTTTCAAATTATTTCTTCTTATCTGACTATAAATGAAAGTAAACAATTACATATTTAAAGTCATTTAATGAAATTCATTTGTTGTTTTTCCCCAGAGTGAAGAGGACGAGCCGGACGTGGAGAGTGACTTTGATGACCTCAGTATGAACAGTGTCTCTGTGTCTGAAGGATCGAACAGTCGCAGCAGCAGAAGCAAAAAGAAGCCCGCCAAGAACAAACCCAAGAGGAAGAAGGGTGAGCTGGAGTGCATGTGGTTTTCATTTACATCAATATAGATATGTAATAGAACAGAAAAGAATTGGCAAGTTTGAGTTTTAAAGTGTTTTTTTTTGCCCACTAATGTCACGCAGGACAGTCAGGACAGCACAGATATTGGGGCAGCCACACTGGAGCTATAAAACTGCTTTTTCCTGACTTTTCAGACTCATTGGGATCAAAATCACCTAATACTGATCATTAGGGAATATTTCCTTTGGAGTTTACATTTGTTTACACTAGAACAAGAATCAATATGGTGACAGGTTTCATTTTTATTCAATACCCTATGGCATACCATATAAAGTAGTATGAGTAGGCCTGTCCTGCTAACTGGAACCTCCCCATTATGAAACAAATAAAGGATGTTTCTACTGGTTTTGAAGTGCAATATATTGCTAAGGCTCAGGTATGAAAGAAAACACACAAGTCCATTTTGTTAAAGCAATATCTCCCTCAACACATTTGAAGTTTATTTTAATCTTTGTGCATGTTTGTGATATTTAGACGCAGAGGATGGAGATGGTTATGAGACTGACCATCAGGACTACTGTGAGGTGTGTCAGCAGGGAGGAGAGATCATCCTGTGTGACACCTGCCCCAGGGCCTATCACATGGTGTGTGTGGACCCCGACATGGAGAAGGCCCCCGAGGGCACCTGGAGCTGCCCGCACTGTGTAAGATACAAAAAAAATTATGTTTAAAGTTGTAGGTTAGATTAGGTAAACGTGAGTGATGTTTCTGTTTTACCCAGTATCTACAGGAGAGGATGACCACAATTCTTTCAAGGGCATATAAAAGAATGACTAAACTTCTAATCCTGTAAATCCTCTGTGTTTTTAGGAGAAGGAGGGCATCCAGTGGGAGGCTCGTGAGGAGGCGTCGGAGGGAGAGGAAGATAACGGAGAGGCCGGAGATCACGAGGAAGACGACCACCACATGGAGTTCTGTCGTGTTTGTAAAGATGGAGGAGAGCTTCTCTGCTGTGACTCCTGCCCCTCGTCCTATCACATCCACTGCCTCAACCCCCCTCTGCCCGAGATCCCCAACGGAGAGTGGATCTGCCCGCGCTGCACGGTCAGAACACTCACGAGATGGTTTGACTCATACTCTTTTGTACTTGAAGCTGTAGTAGGCAAAATTATATAATTGTCTTTTTAAAGGAGTGCATCTATATTTAAGTTACCTCTAATGTTGTCTAGTGATAATCTTCTCAGTTAAAGACTTCTATTTACTCGTGAAGGTGCCTGAAATAAAAGGCATTAAGCTTATTTATTTTTTCAATTACAGATGATTTATTGTTCACAAATACATTGAAATGGCTTGACTAACCACAGATCTGCCATGTAACTTTGTGGGCACTCCCTCAGAGAAGTTACAGTGCACCTTTTTAAATCAGTTTTTTATGACTTATGATGACTGCAAATGAATTCCAAATGTGCCAGAGTATATTCTTATATTTTGTTGTGCGTATTCAAACAAAAAAAGTAAAATTAAAGATTGTTTTGTGCTTTCTCAGATAATTTAGCCAGATTTGCAAATTTTCATTAATCAGGTTTAAGTATAGTCTTGTTTAGTATTGTTTGTAGATCTAAAAAAAAAAAATAGCGGCAAATTTTAGTCATGGTCCAGATGTTTATTATTTTTCTATACCTGGTTACGCCAAATGCAACAAGTTTTACATCACTGCTTTAGATAATAATCTGTCTCTTTCTTGGCAGTGCCCGCCTCTGAAAGCTAAAGTGCAGAAGATCTTGACGTGGCGTTGGGGCGATCCTCCTCCCCCCACCATCGTCCCCCGACCCCCGGACCTCGCCCCAGACGCCCCCGACCCCGCCCCCCTCGCAGGACGTCCCGAGAGAGAGTTCTTCCTCAAGTGGTCCAACATGTCGTACTGGCACTGCTCCTGGGTCACTGAGCTACAGGTAAGAATCTTAATGTCATTTCTGTCATTTCTTCTTTCACTAGAGGTGTCCATAGTGAATCATTTGCCTGTCCTTTACTAATTTTTTTCACACAGCATATAACTTGTGAGCCACATTGTACAAAATAAAAGTAATCAGTAATTTTTAGTACAATTTCTAGCTCTTCTAATATGTATGAGGCTATCACACTGAATTATTTGCCCCATCTGCCCCATCTGCTCCATCCAGCTCTAACCTCAGTATCCCTCTACCCAGATATTCTTTATTCCTCCTCTTTACATGTCCAAAAATATCTAAATCTGGAAACTTTATTTACAAAACATCTTAATATGAACTGTTTATCTAATGCATTCATTTCTAAACACATTTGGCCTTCAAACCGTATTAAAACAATTAATTTTTCTGTTTCTAGCTGGAGCTGCACTGCCAGGCCAAGTTCAGGAACTACCAGAGGAAGACGGACATGGACGAGCCTCCTCCCATAGACTTTGGAGAGGGAGAGGATGACAAAAGCACCAAGAGGAAAAACAAAGACCCCATGTACGCTCAGCTGGAGGAGAGGTACCTCAGATACGGCATCAAGATGGAGTGGCTCATGATCCACCGCATCATCAACCACAGGTCAGAATTCACACGTTTTTGTTTTGAAGCTGCTAAAAAACGAGAGGAATAATGGAATTTAAAGCAGAAATGTAGTTAACACTTTATAATAAAGCAATGAACCCAGATTTAATTCATAATGAGCAAATAAGACTGATTCAGGCTCTCTTATCCCCAACCCCTTAATCAAGTAGTTATTAAATCTGAATCTTTCATAATAAACAATTTCTTCATTATGAATTTAGTTTTTGTTCATTCTTAAGGCAAATTAAGGTGTAGTTGGTGTAAAGTGGTGCCGAAATTCAGACTACTGATCAAAACATAAATTTTTAATTGTTACAATCCATATACTTTTAATAGCTTTATATTGTATTTAAAATGCAGCTGATGGCATATTCCACTGTGATTGGTTAAATCCACTTGTTACTCATGTCAAATGCTGACTATCAGGAGATAGGTGTATGGAACAAGTGATATTCAAATAATAATTGGAATATCCTACCTTCTTGCTGCTTATGTCATAAAATGTACGCAAATTTGTATTGTCCCTAAAATGTTTTTGCTATATCATGGAATCCAGCAATTCTCTTTTAGCATTGGTTAAAAAATGAGATGAGAACATACTATTAATAAGTATGCATTTCACAGTTAAGTTGTATTTACATGTGCTGTGTTTTTCAGTGTGGATAAGAAACACAACGTGCATTACCTGATCAAATGGAGGGAGCTGCCATACGATCAGGCCACGTGGGAGGCAGATGACATGGACGTGCCAGAGTTTGACCAGTACAAGCAGCAGTACTGGAACCACAGGTCAGAAATGTTTTCTAATCATCTTGTAATATGCAATTATATTTGACCTTTTTCCTCTCTTTTAAAACATAGTGAAGTATATTGAAATTTGGATGAGTAAAGTAATAGGCAACATTTAAAAAAAAATCTCTCTGTTGCAGGGAGTTAATGATTGGAGAAGATGGAAAACCCGGAAAGAAAATCAAAGTTAAAGGAAAAACGAAGAGACCAGACAGACCTCCAGAAAACCCAGTGATTGACGTAAGTAAATTAGTTTAAATTTTCAAATACTTGACTGGGGAAAGTGGGAGATGTAACATGGATTTTGAGGATGTAAAATATATTATTGATGACCAAATATTTGCAAAATCAGTATTTGTAGTTTAGCAGGTCATAGAAAAATGCTGAAATGTTACACCTGTTAACACTCTATTAAAGGGAAACACTGATTTTACTTCAGAATTTCCCATAGTGTAATTTCCACCCCCATAGTCTAGCAGAGTGAAAATAATATGTAAGAAGACTATTTACTGGCAAATAAGTCAAATATGGATCTCTCCACTGCAGTCTTAGTATAAACCTGTAAACACTAAAAATGTATAATTGTTTTCCTTTGTTTCTCTCCTTTAGCCAACGATAAAGTTTGAGCGTCAGCCAGACTACCTGGACTGCACTGGGGGCACTCTGCACCCGTACCAGCTGGAGGGTCTCAACTGGCTGCGCTTCTCGTGGGCTCAGGGCACAGACACCATCCTCGCCGACGAGATGGGACTGGGCAAGACTGTGCAGACTGCTACCTTCCTCTACTCGCTCTATAAAGAGGTGGGTTTGTGAAAGGTTAAATGTGGTGTTATATCCCTGATTAATATGACTGGAGGAGCACATACATTTTAAGTTTACCTTGAAAACATTTCTTAATATCAGATTATGTTTTCTGGGAAAAATTGTTCTATCTAAAATTCTCAGTTTGATTGTGAAACTATATACCGCATCATTTTAGTTTTCTTATTTACCATAATTCAGTAATTGTATTCAACCCTGTTACATTGTTGTTCCTTAATCAAAAGCATTCTTGGAAGTGTGTTATATTTAATGCATACATATTCAAATGATCTTTTTTTATTATTTGACCTGTTTCAGAATAGAAACAGGAAATTGTTGAAAACTATTATTTTCTTTATTAGATTTTTTTTTTAAGTTGATAACAACATAATAGCGTTTTAAACAATTTTGGTGCTTAGGAGACATATACTTAGAGTGTAATGATAATTCAACTAAAGTTCCAAAGATCCAGTAGTTCCCAGACTTTTGAAGATTCAGTCACTTTAAAAAAAAATCCTGTTCAGGAAAACAATTTACACCAGTTGTAAATCACAAAGATAATATTGCTGCTCTCAGTACAGAAAGAAATATGTCATCAGCAAAAGTTGTGCCATAAAAATTAAACGACAGAAATGATGTTATCCAGCGTTGTTCATTTAAAAGCAAGTGACACTAAAATTTGTCTTTGTGCTCTCCTCCACAGGGCCACTCGAAGGGACCGTTCCTTGTGGGTGCCCCTCTCTCGACCATCATAAACTGGGAGAGAGAGTTTGAGATGTGGGCTCCGGACATGTACGTGGTGACTTATGTGGGAGACAAAGACAGCAGAGCGGTCATCAGAGAAAATGAGTTTTCATTTGAAGACAACGCCATTCGAGGGGGAAAGAAAGCCTCCAGGATGAAGGTAAGAAAGCATCGTAAACAATTTAATTTGGTTGGATAAACGTGGTAAATTATGTATTCACTTAACAATTTTTAATAGATCAGGGATGAAATTTTATACATTTATGATCATATTTTTATAGGAAATGATAAATATTGATTCTGCCACTCTTAACTCTTTCCCCCTTGGACGCCTACTTGGAACAACCCATACATATATTAGTATGTATGGGTTGTAGTGGCCCCCACCTATCACAGCCTCTGATTACATGTGAAAAACCGAGCTATTTGTAATGGTCGTCAAATCACGTCTTTAGTGATACAGTGGAGGTGTCAAAAGACGTCATTAAGGAAACAAGGGAGGGTCGTCAAATGTAGTCTTCATGGAGGAAAGAGTTTAGGTCAAAATAAGTGGCTGTGTACTATCTGCATCTAATTATAACATGTTTTATTGTCCAAGAACCAGGAAGGAAGCTGTTAGCATGCTAGTTGTTGTTTGCATTACTTCAATGGTAAAAGTCTGCTCTGGTCTCCGAAAGTTGTGAAAAACACTTTTAAACTCATCATGTGGAATAATTGTGTTGATAAAGTGGTTAACACTCCAAACTGTTTCAAATAAACTAATTCAGTTTTTATATTTTTAACACTGTAAAAATCTGATACAGTGCCTTTTAGTTAATTACAATATAAATGGAATCTGATTTTGTATGGGTTTTTAATTTTAGCAGGCATAACTTCTACTCTGACACTTTTGGTAGTCAGATAATGTTGATAGAAATAAATAAAAATAAAATAAATGTATTAAATAGTTTGTGCATTTTTGCCTCCACAGAAAGACTCATCTCTGAAGTTCCACGTGTTACTAACGTCCTACGAGCTCATCACCATCGACATGGCCATTCTAGGCTCCATCGACTGGGCCTGTCTCGTGGTGGACGAGGCTCACAGGCTCAAGAACAACCAGTCCAAGGTACCAAACACCAAACATCCACATAATATTCTCAGGAGTTGAATTAAGTCAATTAGACAACGTTTTGAATACATTTCACCTCTAATCAAAGTAGCTTCTTCACTTCACTTCAGTTCTAGCTCTGGTATTTTACATAATAGTTGACTTAAAGGAACTCAACTAAAGTGAAATCAACACACCCTAGTTGTTTACACTCAGCACCATCTGCTATTAGTTAACTCCTTTGTTCTGGATCCCTCTGGTAAAGGACTGGCTTCTATATCAAAAGAAGCTACTTGGATGAATTGTGAAATGTATTATTCACTGTAAAAAAAACTTTGTTCAGTTGACACAATTAATCCCTCTTTTGTTACGAATCTTATCTGGACAACTGAGGGAATCAGACATTCTCATATTAAACCTTCTGAATATATATTGTCTGCCCTTCTATGTTGGAAAGATCTGCAATAATGCCCATTTTGTTCTCTCGTTGTAGTTTTTCCGTGTTCTGAACAACTACTCACTCCAACACAAACTGCTGCTGACAGGAACTCCCCTTCAGAACAACCTGGAGGAGTTGTTCCACCTGCTAAACTTCCTCACTCCAGAGAGGTTCAGGTGAGGAGTGATGAATACCAGGAAATCCTAAACCATTTGTAAAATGTCAAAGTCTGCCCAGTGTTGCAATGAAGTTTAAGTGAATAGAAATTGGCGCTCAAAAATCAGGATAAATATTAGAAAATAAACTTAAACATAACACTGTGCATATAAAATAAAGTAATGTAAAATAAAATAAAATAAAATAAAGCAGCACTACTTGAACAATAAGTGACTCTAACTATGATGTACTTACCAAAACTACCAAATTAGCGATGATTTTAAGCAAAATCATAAATAAAATGTCAACTATGTATGTCAAAAGTGTCATATGCACTGTGAATTTCTCAAGAAAAGATGATCTCTGCTCGCAGAGCAAGTAGACAACGATTAAGTATTCTCCTGTAACTTGGCATGTTATTTCTCTTTCTGTAGTAATCTGGAGGGTTTCCTGGAGGAGTTTGCGGACATCGCTAAAGAGGATCAGATAAAGAAACTTCATGACATGTTGGGTCCTCACATGCTGCGGCGACTGAAGGCTGATGTCTTCAAACACATGCCCTCCAAAACAGAGCTCATCGTCAGAGTAGAGCTCAGCCCCATGCAGAAGTAAGAGACTGGGACACACTGAAACACACAATATATCATTCTAGAGCACAATCTTACCGTTTCAAACTGAGGGCAGTTGAATAAGTCTTTTTGTTTTTATATGAAAATTATTTAATCAGTTTTTTGTTAAGAAAATGTTTTGTCACAAAGAATAATTTATCAATATGAGGGAAAGAATTTGTGCGAGGTTTGGATTCATGTGAAATATTAATCATAAACTACTTCAAAACACTCAAATTACAAAGGTGTCTTTACACCTTTGTAATTCACCTTACATTACAAAGCCTTCTAACACCTTTTTAAGACTTCTACAGACATTGTCCAAAATGTGATTTTTTTTTTTAATTGCTTAAACATTTGAGAAAGACTGAACTATGAACTGCTAATGTTTCTGGATGTGTTGTAAAATGTGCAGGGTGAAAAGTATTAATAATAGATATTTTCCCCAAATTGCTCAAACTTAATGATGTAACTTATTTGTCTGTAGGAAATATTACAAGTACATCTTGACGAAAAACTTTGAGGCCTTGAACACAAAAGGAGGTGGAAACCAGTTTTCGCTGCTCAATGTTGTCATGGATCTGAAGAAATGCTGCAACCATCCCTACCTCTTCCCTGTGGCTGCGATGGTATGTTATAAACTTTAAATTCTATTCAATTAAGGGCCTATATGGGCAAAAATTTGGTCATGTTGGAAAGCTTGATGAATTGGTTTACATTTTGGGTTTTATTTTAAGGCTCTTGCTTCTTGTATCTATCATTATTTTTTTGATATATCACCTGTTCAGATATTTGCAATTACAGTTTAAATTCTTAAATTGATGGATAAATAATGAATGTGTTGTATTCCCATGTTATGTGATTTTAAATGATTGTTTTTTCCTCCCTCCCAAATAGGAAGCCCCTCGTTTGCCGAATGGGATTTACGAGAACCAGGGTCTGATCAAAGCTTCAGGGAAACTTCTGTTACTGCAGAAAATGATGAGAAAACTCAAGGAGGGTGGACACAGGGTCCTCATCTTCTCACAGGTAAAATATGGTACAAAAGGAATACAGAGTACATACAGAATGTGCTCCATCCACACATTCAAATACAAATACATGTATTTTTATTGTAATGTAAATGGATATAAACAGATTAGTACCATGTGCTGAAAAACATTTGTCATAATCTCAGTAAAGGTTCTCACTTTGTTTCAGTGCAATCTGTTTAAAGTTTTATTCTTGTTTTGTTCTCTATTCCAAAAAAAAAAACTATACTTAAGCTGACTACTAAAATAAAATAATCAATAGTTGCAGTCCTGTCCCAGTTGCATCTTTAAAAATGATAGGTTTATTAACATTACGAAAATGAATGATAGTTCATTAACGTGGTATGTTGTATTTCAGATGACAAAGATGTTGGATCTTTTGGAGGACTTCTTAGAAAATGAGGGTTATAAATATGAGAGAATCGACGGAGGAATCACTGGAGGACTGAGACAGGAGGCTATCGATCGATTTAATGGTAAGAAACAAATTTATTCCCCATTCTTGACATGGGGATTTACCTGCATTTGGTCAGAACAAGGTCATGAGAACAAAGCAGAAGTGATTTTACTTTTATTCACTACTTCTGTTATACTTGATCATGTTAGTATGTAATCACCCCTTTGTTAAATTGTAATGAAATTTCTGAAATCTCTTGTTTCTCTCCTCAGCTCCAGGTGCTCAACAGTTTGCCTTCCTGTTGTCCACGCGAGCTGGAGGTTTGGGCATTAACCTGGCAACCGCAGACACTGTGATCATCTATGACTCCGACTGGAACCCTCACAACGACATTCAGGTGAGGAGCAGAGGAATGTTACACCTATTTAACTATTTTAACACAGAATTTGAACTTAAACGCCAACTGAATGTGTTACTGTTCTGTCCAGGCCTTCAGCAGAGCTCATCGAATCGGTCAAAATAAGAAAGTTATGATCTACCGCTTTGTTACCAAGGCCTCTGTCGAAGAGAGGATCACTCAGGTAAGCAATGCAACATGTTAGATTTAAAAAGTCACCTCTTCTACATGAAAACTTTTGATAATTTATTAAAGATGATTATGAGGGTAGTAATCAGTGCTCTGAGTGACTGCACTTTGACTGTCTGTCCCAAAAAAACTGTTTTAAAGCTGTGCACTCGCTTGACCATTAATGTGAATATTAACAATGTGCTAATGGTTTGAGGGCGCTAAAAACTAGTTACTTAATTCAAATTTAATTTAATTGGGGGTACCCTGATGCTGAAGGCAATGCACTTCTGCTTCTGCGAGTTCTTCAGATGTGATTTACTGTGGTTAAATCCTCCTCTCACTTACTCAGAGCATGTCAGAGGCTGACCAATAGAAAATGGAGCTGCATTAAACAGAAGCACTGAATGACCATAGAAACATCTTTCTGCACTGACCAATCATTCTTGTTAGTTCTAAATGGGCCTTACATCTGAAACTAAACTTGTCTGTTATTTCATAGGTGGCTAAGAAAAAGATGATGCTGACTCATCTTGGTGGTGCGTCCTGGTCTGGGCTCAAAGACCGGCTCCATGTCCAAACAGGAGCTGGACGACATCCTCAAGTTTGGAACAGAAGAGCTGTTCAAAGATGAGCAAGAAGGTGGGAGTTCTAATTTTACTTCTTAAATTTCCAGAAATGTCTACTTAACTTTATCTCCAATGCATTTATTTCTCCCAACTCACAAGATGTTTTTTTTTTTATTAGTAGACACAAATATCCATTTGTCATCCATATTTAGTCTTGAACATCATTATTTTTGTGGTTAGAATTGTATATTTGTTATTAAATATGGAATCATCAGTCAAAGCAAGGGAATACAACTACGACAGTACTGCATTGGCATTTTTGTGTTCTTTTTATTGTTTGAGTCTTAAGTTATTAAGAATATTTGTTGAACTACTTTTCTAACTTGTGCAGGAGAGAATAAGGAGGAGGACAGCAGCATCATTCACTACGACGACAAAGCCATCGAGTCACTGTTGAACCGAAACCAAGACGCAACTGAAGACACAGAGCTGCAGAGCATGAACGAGTATCTGAGCTCCTTCAAAGTAGCTCAGTATGTGGTCAAAGATGAAGAGGAGGAGGTGAGATGTTTAGTCATTTTAGGTTTGTGGGAAAACTGTATAGGTGCTTGAAATCTGTGAAAACATTACGCCGTTTGTCTTAAAAAGGTAGTAAAGAAAAAACGCAAAGTTAATGTTGATTACAACACATAAAATTATTTTGTCTTACTAACCATTTTGTGTTTTCTGTAGGAGGAGGAGGTACAGAGGGAGATCATTAAACAAGAGGAGAGTGTAGACCCAGATTATTGGGAGAAACTTTTGCGTCATCATTACGAACAACAACAGGAAGATCTGGCCCGTAACCTGGGCAAAGGCAAACGAATCCGCAAACAGGTCAACTACAACGACGGATCGCAAGAGGACACAGGTAGAGGTCAATGCAACTTTTATTTCTTTCTTTACATAGGAACAGTAGAAACGGGGATGTAAGAAAACCAAAAGTCTGCCAATAATATCATGGACTGTTAAAATGATTCAGAATTGGATGATCAACAAATTTGTTTGAGATTGGCTCCACAAATTGTCAGTTGAAAGGACTTTAAAACATAAGATGAATTTATTTATTTTATAATCTGCAATCTGACCGTTAAGCAGCAAATCCAACCATAGAATTCTGACCCGTTCTCCAGCTCAGTTTAACCTATAGGGATTCTATAACATTGTGAGTGTCATGTGGAGCCTATGGATTTAACTGTAAGCTCCTATAGCTAATTGCATAGATTTGTTGCAGTGGCAGTCTAAGAACTAGGACAAACTATAGACCATAATCCTCTGGTTCATTTCAGTGCAGCCAACATAAATAACTGGTCTTTTAAATTGTTAATACTTCCAAATATGGCATTTGGAATAGCTCTTAAGGCTTGTTGAGCAATTCTAGGGAATGCAATAGTGAAATCTTATAACCATACCATGATACTGTCCTATGAAGTTTGGTTCTTTTTGCATCCCTGGTAGAAAATGAATATGAATTGATGAAGCTATAATCTCTATACTGTGTTTTGTCATGCTAAAAATAACACGTAATATAGATTAAATGTACTTTACATAGAAGTATTTAAATAAAAGCATATAGGTGTGTCTATGAAGAACATCTATTTTGTCTTTTGTTGTCAAAGATAGGGACTGAATGCTCAATGTTATTACTGCTTAACTACTAAAAAATGTGCAATTTTATAAAACAATATGCAACATGTTTTAGCATAACAAGAAATGTGTTGATAGTGTTTGTTTTTTCATTCACAATTTCCAGAGGTGGAAAGTAATTACAGTATTTACCTTTTTATTTTAAGCTTTGTTGAATAATTTTTACATGTTTTGATTCTGTTGCAACTGTAAATGATTTCATTATGTTTACCCTATAAACTTCTCATATTTCTGTGTTTAGCTTAAGTGTTCATATCATCAACATTATTAAAATTTAAATGATTATACTTGAACAGTATTTTATATATTTAAATAGTATTTTATATATTAAAATAAAATAATGCTATGTAAGTCTTCTCCACCCACCTCTGAGGATTTGTGAAGTGTAGCAGGGATTTTATGGAGCATGTTTTAAACATTTCTTGTGTTTGTATTTACAGCTGATTGGCAGGATGACCAGTCCGATGGTCAGTCCGATTACTCAGTGGCTTCAGAGGAGGGAGACGAGGACTTTGACGAGAGATCAGAGGGTAATTCACTATTTCACTGTACCTCCAATACAGTTAATTTTTTATTTCTATTAATTGTATTAGTTTATCTTGGCTCACATTTTTTAACGGAAATATCCAAACATTTTGTCATAGTTGTACTCTTTCATTATTTTTCACGGTCAGAAGAAGTTCATATTGTTTAATAAATTCTGAATTAAGAAAACTGACTAAAGCAATGAAATATGTCAGCCAATTGTATCAAGCTCTCATTGGTGCTGAGAGCTTGATACAGTTGGGTTGACTTTTTTATTGTTGAGTAATAACTTAAGTCATTAAACTGTTGTGTCTTTTGTCATTTATTGTGTAAAATATATTCAGTTCTTATATTATTGTTTGTTTCAGCTGCCAACTCTCGCAGACCGGGCAGGAAGGGTCTACGGAACGACAAAGACAAGCCACTGCCCCCCCTGCTGGCCAGGGTCGGAGGCAACATCGAGGTGAGTGTATACAGTTAAAGAAGTGGATTTATCAAAACAGCTCTTGTACAATGGTTTTTAGCATAGTCCATCCAAACTGATTCATTCCCCTGTATTTTTCAGGTGCTGGGGTTCAACTCGCGCCAAAGAAAGGCCTTCCTGAATGCAGTGATGCGTTATGGGATGCCTCCTCAAGACGCTTTCACAACACAGTGGCTCGTACGAGACCTGCGCGGCAAATCTGAGAAGGAGTTCAAGTGAGTCACATATGAAATTAACAGATTTCTTTCAGTAACTAAATCTTAATAATATCAGTTTTAATGTGCATAAAAATCATATTCACACTACCTCCACCTCCTCCTCCTCAGGGCGTACGTGTCCCTGTTCATGAGGCACCTGTGTGAGCCTGGAGCAGATGGAGCAGAAACTTTTGCAGACGGAGTCCCCAGGGAAGGACTGTCCCGACAGCATGTCCTCACACGTATCGGGGTCATGTCCCTCATACGCAAGAAGGTATCTACAGCTACTACCAGATCTATACTAAATAATATATCTACTACCAGGTATATACTAGAAGACTTGCAGATTTACACTGACATTTGCCAGAGTGAAGACCTGGTTTCAGATGTTTTTTTATTAAATTTGTAGTAAAAAAGTCTCAATTATAAATAAATATAGAGTATAGTTCCTTGCAATAGTTACTTAAGTTGTAGTGCAGAGAGGTGTATGACACTGGACTGTAAAGTAAGGGACTCATAACAAATATGTATGAAATATGTGCCGCCGTGTGGCGGTACTGAGTATTACAACAGTAATGCTCTAGAACACAGGTGTCAAACATAAGGCCCGGGGGCCAGATCCGGCCCTCCAAGACCTTTAATGTGGCCCTCTGCTGATTTTCTACTAAAATATTTTAATTATATTTTCTTTTAAAATATTGTATTTTCTGTGGTGTTTATCATAGCAGCATCTCCAGCGTCTCTGTACGTGGCCCCTCACACCAGAGCAGCACAAATGAAGACTTGTCTCTTTCCAAACACTCTTAAAGGACGATCGTTTTGACTGTTGACCATGACACCCTCATCAACAAAATGTCCAAAATGAGAAAAGTGGAGCCGAGTGCAAGATTTTCCACAAAAAAAATTGACTTATTCCTATTTACATACAATTTTAATGTTAAAACACTGTGTTGAAATTACATTTTTCAACAAGTTTCAGGTTGTTCATAGTATTATAATATTTTGTAAAAGAAAGAGTTCATCAATTAAAAAAGATTTCTGTTATTTTTGGGGTTTATATTTCATGAGTTTTCTGATCCGGCCCCTTTGGGATCAAAGTAGGTTGGATACGGCCTCCTGACCAAAATGAGTTTGACACCCCTGCTCTAGAAGTATGTTTGACGCTGTGTTAAACTCCATGTGCCTTGTGTGTCTTCAGGTACAGGAGTTTGAGCATGTGAATGGTCAGTGGTCGATGCCGTGGATGGCAGAGCTGGAGGAAAACAAAAGAGCAGCAGCTCAGCCAGAGTCTCCAGGAAAGACCCCCTCGACTGGGACCCCTGCAGACACACAGCCCAACACGCCCGCTCCAGGTCAGCATCAAAAACATAAGGCATACCAATAAATTTTTTAAGGTTGCATTAAGCAACAAAAGCCAATTATTTTTTCCCTTTGCATAAGTCCATTACTGACTAAGTTCTAAGGACTGCAACTAGATAATACATTTAATTGTTGTTTTTGACTACTGTCCCAACTTCTGCTTTTTTCTGTTGCTAAATGTGTTTATTTTTGCAGTTGACGACTCAAAGACTGATGAAGCTTCTAAGGATGGTGAGAAAGACGTAAAGAAAGAGGCTGAACCTGAAAAGAACGGCAAAGACTCCAAAAATGAGGTAGAGTAATTGATAATCTAAAGGGTCGGTATAATTTTGGCATATGTATCTTTAATGTCATTTATACCTCTTGTGTTTTCAGGTCATCTCAATCCCAGGCGACGATGAGAAGGAAAAGAAGCCTGAGGAGAAGAACGGACAGGAGCCTGCAGCGGACAAAAAGCAGAACGGAGAAACTGCAACGACCAATGGCACCAAAGACCCAGAGGAGACGAAAGAGAAGGAGGGAGAGGAGGGAAAGACAAGCCCACAGAATACAGAAGAAGAAAAGAACTCCAATGAGAAGACAGAGGGGTCAGAGGTCAAGACAGAGGACGCAGAGATGAAAGGTAAATCTGTCACTACTAGACTTGTGTTGTTACATTTTTCAGTACATTGCTCATATATACTCAATATTATTGATCGACCAAGTAAAAAAAAAAAAAAAAAATATATATATATATATATATATATATATATATATATATATATATATATATATATATATATATATATATATGGAAAAGACTAGATTAAGTTTTCACTTTTCATTCCTAGATTCTTTTTACATGTACCAAGAAGCAATGCAATACAATTAATCTTAACTAAAATAAAAATATATACTTTCTAGTTCACTAAACCTATTTTGGCTTTAGTTTTAATCAGCAAAAATGTAATGTTACAGTAAATTTTTTTGGACTAGACTCCCCACACTTTCAAATGTACCCACAGCCACGCCCTGGGGCAGACTGTTACAGAAGTGGGTGCCAAAAGTCAAACTGGCCGTATTCACTCATCAGAGTTTGAATCGAGCTGCTGATCTATGACTATAACCACTTAAAATGATAATGCATTTGTTTTACAGAAGAGAAGAAAGAGGACAAGGTAGAAAAGATGGACACAACTCCAGCTCCCGAGGATAAAAAGGAGGATAAAAGTTCGGACGACAAAGACGTGATCGAGGTGAAAGAAGTGAAGCCGGAGGAGAAGCTTCAAAACGGAAACTCTTCCAAAGACTCTGTTGCCGTGAGCGAAGACAAGAAGAAGGCCAAGTCCAGGTTTATGTTCAACATTGCAGACGGAGGGTTCACAGGTACTAATGCACTTTTCACATTTTAGGAGTATTTACAGAGCATATGACGATGGGTTTTTATGTTTCTCCAATTATGACGTTGGTGGAAAATTATTTATAATAGGTTTATTGTTTCAGTAACCAGATACTAATTGATACTAAATCTAATATTGAAACTAGATACTCATAAGTGTAAGACAACATAGACTATTATGTTTTATGGGTCCTCACAACGTCCTTCAAATCAGAAAGGAATTGTCTGAAATAGGTGTAATTATGTTAATGTGCTTTTGTGAAATGAGTAATCCTGTCATATGCACTTTAAACTCTAAGTGATTAATTTGATGTAGCGGAGCGTAAAGCAGTGAATTATTCAAAATATGTACAACTTCATTTTCTCTTTTCAGAGCTGCACTCCTTGTGGCAGAATGAAGAACGGGCTGCAACTGTGACAAAGAAAACCAACGAGATCTGGCACCGGCGACACGACTACTGGCTCCTGGCCGGAATCATACAGTATCCTTCACATGAAAAACTACTTTCAGGGGTTTAAGATTTGCACAAGTTTTCATTGGGGCAAATTTGACTCCAAGCTAGATTCCTTTAGCTTTAAAGGTGCTCTGATGACTGGCAGGAGATAAACGAACATTTACATGGTACCTCTTTAATTTAAGGACCAAATCTTTAAATTAAAGAGGCACATCTACTGGGAGGATGTTTTTTTGTTTCACGCCTCATATATTTGATCAATTTCACACCATGAGTCTTCCAAATACTTGGCAAACATCTTAACAAACCTTCATAAATGAATAGCTTTAAAACTAAATATAGATTGTTATTTATGAGTAATGTTTTGTTTTTTTTTTCCATTAGTAGATGGCAAATGTGAAACCTGTGCTCTCTTGTCTTCCTCTGTCAGGCCAAAAGAAGTAATGTATCTACTGTAGTTATATGAGAGTACAATAGGGCTGAGTCTTCCAGTCTAATAACAAATTGGGCTTTATGAGCATATATTTGTGAGTAGTTGTGTCCTTGACCCTGCCCCCTTCAGACACGGTTACGCTCGCTGGCAAGATATCCAGAACGACGTGAAGTTTGCGATTCTCAACGAACCGTTCAAAGGAGAGATGAGTCGAGGCAACTTCTTAGAAATCAAAAACAAGTTCCTCGCCAGACGCTTCAAGGTAAAGTGGACACAAAAAGATACTTTCAAATACCATGTTTGAATCTAGCCCTCTTAATCTTGTGTTTTTTCCCCCTTCACTGTATCAGTTGTTGGAGCAGGCGTTGGTGATTGAGGAGCAGCTGCGGAGGGCAGCGTATCTGAACATGTCTGAGGACCCCTCTCACCCCTCCATGGCTCTGAACACACGCTTCAGTGAAGTCGAGTGTTTGGCCGAGTCTCATCAGCATCTGAGCAAAGAGTCTATGTCCGGGAACAAGCCTGCCAATGCAGTACTGCACAAAGGTGAGGTAGACTTTATATCTGTATTGTAGTACAGTAGTGCAGTAGTTTAGTAGTACTGGAGTTTGAGCCAGGACTGAGATTTCAGTTATTTGGTTCTTTGGAGAGCTCTGGTTTGGTTAGACAGCAGAAGACTGAAAAAGTGGACTTTGTTGTTCATTGAAATGTCTAACTTTTCCCTCCATCTTGTCTCCAGTGCTGAAACAGTTGGAGGAGTTGCTAAGCGACATGAAGGCTGATGTCACCCGTCTCCCGGCGACCATCGCCCGGATACCTCCTGTCGCTGTGAGACTGCAGATGTCCGAGAGGAACATCCTGAGCCGACTGGCCAGCAGGGGGCCCGAGACGCACACACAGGCACAACAACAGGTGAACATTTTCTAAATATCACTCAAAGAATTCAAGCTTCCCTTGGGGTCAGTCTTTCATCTGTCCTCTGGCTCTTGCCCAGAGCCGTGTAGATCTGGGCAGTTCAGTGTGATCAGTCTCTGAGAGAGGGGTGTCTTGGGAGGAAAGGAGTCAGGGATGTCAGATGCTTTGTTTGAAAATGAAAAATAGACTGTACCTGAATAGAGTACATATTAATTGAGGGAGCACTCTCACTAATTTAAATCAAGAGTGTTTGGTAATATCTACTTCACAGCACGTCAGGGCTGAATTAATGCTACATATGCTGCAGTGAAATGGATTTCTAACAGTCCTCTCCTTCTCTCCTCTCCCCTGCAGATGTCTCAGCAGTAGACTGAAGCGCTTACCTCTTTTCCTTCAACATTCCTGAATCCTGATTGGTGCACAGCGACTGACGGACAGCTTGAAGCCACACCCTCTTCTCCTCAAAATAATGGACATTTTACTGAGTGTTTCTGAAGGATTGAGCTCCTTCACTCTCCCGAGTCTGAGGCTGTGGACACAAAGCTATTTTATTTTATTTTTCTTAATTTTTTCAATTTCTGTATTAATATTATTGATATAATGTTATTATGATGGTTTTTTGGGACCTAAATAAAGAATAAACTCAAGAATTTGGCCCATACATTTGTTCATGTCATTTTTAGAACAGAGAAGATGCAGCCTATCCAACTTAGGGATATTTGTCTAACCCACAACCTACTTACTGAGAGGAGGAGACAGGCCTCACCACTCTGCCACAGTAACACAGGGAGGACACTCCACTCGAACAAATTGGGAGTCTAACCCATAACCGTCTTACAATTGAAATGACTACAGACAAATCACTACCTTTTATTCAATTAAGATGCAAACATTTATTGAAATCCTACATTACTGCATTTCTACATTGACACATACTTTTAAAACAAGACATTACATCCATTTTTGGACATTCATAAAGAAAATCCAATCACACATTCACACGACAAGACTACAATTTGCATAAGCAGTACAATATTTGACAGTGGATGTAGTTCACACATTGACAGCTAGGGGGAAGCACTTATAACAGGTGAAGATACAAAGGCTTATTGCAAATACTGTAGTTGGGTCTAGTTACACATTACGTAACTGCTTTTCACATTTTCTACACATATTTATTGAGTTGGTTGGTCTGTAAAAATAGTTCATATTATAATTTCTTTAGCTTATTTATGTTTAGAGATTTAGAGATAACTTTTCTGGAGTGGGATTCATGGAGATGACGTTGCTTTGTCTAGTAAAATTCCACAGTCTGGCATTAAACTGATCTCCATGGAGACAGCTTACAGGCCAGATCTGTGGAGAGGAGAGTCTGCACACACTAAGAATGCCTCTGAGCAATAATAAACTCATCATGTATTTATTAAATTTGTTATGTCATACTGTGGAACATTTCTGGCACAAGCAGTAATCTCCCTTCACCAGAAAAATTACATATTGTGTCTTTAATAGAACAATCTATATGGAAATGTGGGCCCTTAACTTGGTCCTGTTTCAAAGTTTATTTTAGATGCTGATAAAGAAATCTGCAGATCCTGGAGGAGTTTGAGGTTTCGGTTTTTGATGAACAGCTCAATAGAAGAAATACACTAAAGGAAAGAAAGAATTAGTTACTGGATTTTGTGTTTAAATAATAAAAGAAGAAATGTGGTGGTACTCACAGAAAATGACAGCAAAAAATATTACTCCTACAATGGCCATTATAATCATCATCTGAAAAGAGAGAGAGGAAATTTTCAGCATCATTACAACTCATCGCCAACTGTGTCAATTTTGGACTTGTAGCTGCACATGTTTATAATGTGTTGTTTTTCAATCCAAAAAGATTTGTTTAAAACTGAATTTTTTCTTAAATTACGTATATTACCCTATCTGATCTATGTTATATTGTTGTTTCCTCATCAAAAACAAACTTGGGGTTGTGTTTTGTTTTATTCATTTTTAACACACAAATCCTGCATATATAGTTCTTCTCTTAAAATTAAATTGTTCACTCCACCGTGTGATGTCATGTGACAATACAGGAAGAGATCCACTGTGTTTTTAAACTCCATACACTTTCACTAGAATCTTTGAGACAATTTCAGTCTTTAAATTGCCCGTCTTTCCTGAACTAAAGGTAAAAGGAGCTGCTAACTTGAGAACTACCACTTCATGACTTCAAAAGCTGGAACAGAGTGTTTTGAGCTTTGGAGATGTAGACAGATGATTAAGGATTACTCAAACATGTGAGTGTGAATGAAACAAAACATGGCTTAAAGCTCACAAGAGTAAATTTTGCAAAACATAGGACCTTTAATTACCCAGCATTTTATAAAGTTTTAGAAACATATTTAAAATAAAATTGTAGGTCTTCAGGTACTTCACAGTTGATGAACACAGAGCAGTAACTTTTGAAATACATTCTTAAACTTTTCGGATTTGTTTGGTCTCTCTTGTGGACACAGGACACTCTTCATTAGGGTGGCAGTGGTAAATTGATGGGTTCAGTCCCAATCTGCGCAAATAACCTAATTCTGTCTTTTTGCAAGGCTCTTCACTCACTTTGCCTTTAAACAGATGTAATGTATGAGTGAGTGTTGGAAGGGCCAGTGACACAGATTAGCAGCCTCACTTCTGTCAGCTATTGTAGCTGTGACTACAATACAATAACTACCATATTGTTATGACAGTCTGTACGGCTAAAAACAAACTTCATGTGGTTTGGTTGTTTGGAAACACAACAGCTGGATAATAAGAACTCAAATGTTTAATATGGACCTCGAGACCTTGAGACTTCAGCTACTGTCCGGAAATCACATCTGAGACAGATTAACATCTAACCAGTGATCAGGTTGCAGTAAACAGATCAGAAACAAGGAAATGGATGAGTCAGACAATGTAATTTATTGTTTTTAGTTATTAGTTCATTTCATCTTTCTCTTTTATGGTGACATTTTGAGGACAGTTGACAATTCAAAGGTATATTTTATTTTGAAAACACAAAGGCCCTGTCTACTAGAGATGCGCGGATAGCGGTTACAGCCGCAGACTCCGCGGCTAAACCGCAGGTCGGGCGGATGACGTGGCAAATAATATTTTAATTAAATTCGGGTGGGTGGCGGTTTCACTCCTCAAATAAAAAACTCTGAACTCGGAGCAAATGGGAGGGGACCGAGCGGATGGCGGGCGGGTGCGGTTTTGAAAACTGGTTAAAAACTGTGGTTCCAAATGGATAGCGGGCGGATGATGAGTTTTGCGATGAGATTGCGGATGAAAAAGTAGCCCATCCGTGCATCTCTACTGTCTACTAGCCAGGCTGGTGCCACCTAGTGCCTCCACTCAATTTCATTTCTCTCCAGTGACTAGGTCATTGGAATACACTAGACGGTTTGCAAGAACCTCGTAAGTTGTAGATCGCGCACCGGCCAATCAGCGAAGAGCTGTGAAGCCATGACATCAAACTCAAGCGCCTGTCTGGGTCCCTTTTGTGGAACAACACAACAGTAAACAAAGCGGTCGAGATGGATGTAGCCAGACATTCTGTGTTGGCAACGATTGCCAAGATCGAGAATTTAAAGCCGGAACAAAGAGAATGTTTGATTAATTTTATCAAGGGGAAGGACGTTATTGCCCTTCTTCCTATGGGATTTGGCGCAATGCATATGTCACGACCAAATAGCAATTGGTTAAATAAAAAAAGTACCCGCCTACCGTCGTGCGAGCAAATCCTAATGCTGTGAGGTCAGACAGTTTCCATGAAGTGAAACCCACTGATGAATCAGGCTAACTGTCTTCTGCTGAGTGAAGTAATATGAACTACAGTAAAAGCACTGGTTACTACTAGCGTTGACATGATACTAAAATTTCAAACTTGAAAAAAAATAAACTCGGTATTTAATACGGAATCCAATACCACGATAATAATAATAAATACTTTCTTTAGATAATACAATGTGACTTTCAACATTTATCATTTATCAAAGTATTTTCTTTTATATCCCCATGTGGCCTTGTATGTGTGTAATCTCTCAGTGGTCCAGGTAGGTTCCATAGTGGTCCATGGGCATATACTAGCCTGTGTGCTTTTATACTTGTTCTGATACAGCTCAAGATCATTCTAAAGCTATTCAGAAAAGGGTCATTTCTGTCCAGTGAATGTGGCTTTTTCTAGTATCAACACCTGCTCAAATTAATATATAATTTGAATTTTTTTGTGCCAAAACTATATGAAGATGGTTAATTTTCAGTATCACCCACCCCTAATTTAAAATAGTCATGTTATCCACACCTTAATTAATACAAACTCATTTTTCAGCACTATTGTTAAAGGTCTGTCTGATGAAGGTGGCTGTTTTACTGTGGCTCACATCTGCGCTGATAATCTCTGTCACTCTGTAATCCAGATTGGGAGTTCTCTCACTTCCTGCCCCCACCACGCATAATCCTCTGGTTCTATAGTCTGATTGGCTGATTTGATTGTCTGATAACATGTGGGTTTGACTTAATGTGATGACTGACAGCAGGGTTGAGTGAGAGGAAGTAGTGACGTTGTAAAGGATTATGCACTCTATCTATGCACACACTATCTAAAAACTATACTATAACAAACTACCAACTCTTATTTACTTATATAAATAAATGATACTATGGATTTTATTATCAAAGACAGGCTGCAGAGTTCACTACATCTTCAGTTATTCAAATGATGAGTTTACCATGCAGTCCTTCCACCTGTAGACTTCTTGCTCATAGTAGTTTTATTAGCAGTAGCAATCAAACCTATGACCTGCACAGTATGTTCTATATCCGTACCTTCATTTGACAGTATACACTTTAAATATATGTAAAAGTTAAAGTTAACCTGGCTCTCTTCAGGCTGATAATCTGAGTTGAGTTGTATCATTATAAATCTGGAATGGTTATATCGTTGAGGAAGAGGAGAGACACTGCAGAGTTTTAGCCACTCACAGCAGCTGAGTGACGTGCTCCATGTTCCAGTGCAGTGTTTGGCCAAATGAATGTGTGGCATCACAACTGCAGTTTCTCACTGCAGCTGTATTAGTACTAGTCCTGAAGCTGTAGTAGTACTAGGCCTGAAGCTGTATTAGTACTAGTTCTGAAGCTGTAGTAGTACTAGAAGTGAAGCTGTAGAAGTACTAGAAGTGAAGCTGTAGTAGTACTAGTCGTGAACCTGTAGTAGCACTAGTCCTGAAGCTGTAGTAGTACTGGAACTTAAGCTGTAGTAGCACTAGTCCTGAAGCTGTAGTAGTACTAGAACTGAAGCTATAGTAGTACTAGTCCTGAAGCTGTAGTAGTACCTAGTAGTAGTACTAGTCCTGAAGCTGTAGTAGTACCAGAACTGAAGCTGTAGTAGTACTAGTCCTGAAGCTGTAGTAGTACTAGAACTGAAGCTATAGTAGTACTAGCCCTGAAGCTGTAGTAGTACTGGAACTTAAGCTGTAGTAGTACTAGTCCTGAAGCTGTAGTAGTACTAGAACTGATGAATGAATTCTTTAATAAGAGCAATAGCAGTACCTTGCAGTTATTCCATCAATACTTGTTCTAGAGTTTGTAGTAGTAATAATAGTGGTTATAGTAGCAGTCATAGCAGTAGTAGTAGTAGTAGTAAAAGTAACCTTGCAGTTCTTCCACCAGTCCTTGTTCTTGAGTTTGTAGTAGTAGTAATAGTAGTAGTAGTAGTAGTAGTAGTAGTAGTAGTAGTAGTAGTTCTTCCACCTGTACTTGTTCTTGAGTTTGTAGTAGTAGTAATAGTGGTAATAGTAGCAGTCATAGTAGTAGTAATAGTAGTAGTAGTAAAAGTACCTTGCAGTTCTTCCACCAGTACTTGTTCTTGAGTTTGGCGGCGCTGCTCTCAAACTGAGAGGCTCCGGCCTGAAGAGCGTCTGCTCGATCGTCCAGCTCCGAGAGCTTCTGGTCTCTCTCCAGAACTTTGTCCACATTCACACGCATGATGTCCACCACCTGAGACACAGAGAGGAGAATAGACAGTACAATATCACATACTAAGTACTAGTAATAGTAACAGCCATTCCTAAGATCAAGGTCAGAACCCAAAGAATCTCAGGATCTCCTTCAGGGGGTTATAATGAAAAGATTCCATGTTACTTGTTGATTCTATAAATTATTTTATAATAATTACTCATATATAACATTTTCACTAAGGTTCAAGTTTCCTTTAATTGTCTCCCTTTAGAGAAATTGAGTTTAGACCAATGGGTTCTGCTGTACACATCATATATAAATATTGGAACACACATACAGACACATTAGAGGCAGAAGAAACTATAAAGGTGCAATATGTTCTCTTTCCATGTACAATCCCTGACAAAAGTCTTGTCGCTTATCCGTTTTGTAGAAACAAAAGCTTATAACCTGACTTTAAATTAATCGATTGGTTTTAGAAATGTCTCATATGAAAGCTAAAACCCTCCCAAATTATGCTCCATATACTAAAATAAATTTGCTTCACTGAAGAAAGATTGATCATTTAATGAACACAGAAAGGTCAGATTTTGGCAAGACAAAAGTTTTGTCGCCTACAGAAAATTGAACAAATAATTTACTTCAAATACAAAAATATGTTGCATAACGTCAGTGAATTAAGTAGTGGTGCTGTGAGATCCATATTTAATATCTTGTATGACTTCCAGGAGCTTCAAGGACGCATCCATGCGGTTCAACAATGATTCATACAATTTGTTGATGAAGTCATCAGGAATAGCAAAGAAAGCGTCTTACATGCCTCCCAGAGTTCATCAAGATTATTTGGTTTTGCCTTCCGTGCTTCCTCTTTCATTCTACCCCAGACATGCTCAATGATGTTCATGTCTGGTGACTGGGCTGGTCAGTCCTGGAGCACCTTGATCTTCTTCGCCTTGAGAAACTTTGATGTAGAGATAGAAGTATGTGATGGAGCACCATCCTGCTGCAAAATTTGACCCCTTTTATAGTTGGGAATGTAAGAGGAGCTAATACTTCTTGATATTTTAGACTATTGATATTGCCTTGCACCCTGCAAATGTCTCGCACACCCCCATACTGGATGGAACCCCAGACCATGATTTTTCCGCCACCAAACTTAACTGTTTTCTGGGTGAATCTTGGATCCATGCGGCTCCAGTAGGTCTCCTGCAATATTTGCGGCGGCTGTGATGTAATTCAACTGAGGATTCATCTGAGAAATCCACCTTCTGCCACTTTTCCAGTGTCCATCCTTTTAGGCTGTGGGCCTTGGCAAATGCCACACGGTTTTTTAATTGCCTTTTGTTTAGTGCTGGTTTCTGTGCACTGATTCGACCATGGAGGCCATTTCGAGACAGAATTCTACAAACTGTTGTGGTTGACACAGGGACTTGAGGTGACCAGGCCTGGTGGAGTCTGCTGCAGTGGAAAAGGGGCTGGCCTTGAATTTTCTAATCAACAAACGGTCCTCCCGAGCAGTTGTCTTGCGGGGTCTGCCGGACCTGGGCTTGTCAAAAGCATCTCCAGTCATTTCAGATCTTTTTCTTATTCTTTGTACTTGACGCTGAGACACATTGAAGGTGTCACCACCTCAGCACTGGATCTGGTCTTCAGTCTCTTGATAATTAACGCTTTGGTCTCAGGGTGGATCTTAGGCATGTTGTCAGAGGTCAAGTTGCAGTTGATGTGAAGGTCTGGTGTGCTGGGGTTCTTTTTATACACACCCACTAATTGATTGATCAATAACTGATCACAGATGAGGCTGTAATCTAGGATTGGGTGCATCATATGACAAGGCCACAAGACTTTTGTCTTGCCAAAATCTGACCTTTCTGTGTTCATTAAATGATCAATCTTTCTTCAGTGAAGCAAATTTATTTTAGTATATTGAGCATAATTTGGGAGGGTTTTAGCTTTCATATGAGACATTTCTAAAACCAATCGATTAATTTAAAGTCAGGTTATAAGCTTTTGTTTCTACAGAATGGATAAGTGACAAGACTTTTGTCAGGGACTGTACATAGTCTACAACAGACAAGTGAAACCTAGGCTCAGGGGCCAAATTTGGCCCACAATATAATTATATTTGGCCCTCGAGATCATATCAAATACGTATTAGAGCTGCCCGCTGGCTACAGATAGACTATAATAACATTGTTTATTTAAAATTTTGTAATTACTTTATATGATGTTTGTTCTGGATTCAATGTTTAAGCAAAACTATTATTAAACATTTATTTTAATAAGAAAAGGTTTAACATAACATATCTCGAAAGAAGAGAAAACATGCAGATGTTGAAATTTTGAATAAATATTTAGTTTGGCCCCCAATTTAATCCCACTTTTAATTTTGACCCTCTGTGAATTTGAGTTTGACAAATAATTATCACCAATTAGTCGCTAATGTATCCTCAGGTTTAAAAAAGAAATGTTCCCTGTAATGAGTTTAAGTATAATATTGAGACAACCTCAGAGTAGGATCTTGGGAGGGTTGGTGGTTAAATTCTGCACTGTACATACTGGCTCATACTGTCAGTGGTGGTTTAGGGGCCCATGCACACATTCGCAGCCTCACTTCCATCAGTTTGTCCCAGGGCAGCTGAGGCAACACAAGTATCTTATAACCTCCCAGTATGTTGCGTGAATTAATTAAATAAGTGATGTTCCAGAAAGGACACCTCTATGTTTTAAAAATCCATAAATATTCACCAGCTCTTTTTCAGCTCTCTAAGCGTCTGCCCTCAACCCTAAAGTGAACAGTTATTGTTGTAGCCTCATTTTAACTACTTCATTCTTCTGTGTCCCAAAAAAAGCTGTCTCAAGTCGCTTTCTGCTTTTAAGGGCCGATATTGCTCTACTTTCTGATCTATGTTATAATGTTTCCTCATCACAAACAGATCTGGAGTTGTGTTTTGTTTCATTCACATGTATAACACACAAACCCTGTAAATTCTTCTCTCAAACAGAAAGCACTCTGTTCCACATTGTGATGTCATGTGGTAATACAGGAAGTGCTCCAATGTGTTTTTAAACTCCATAAACCTTCACTAGAATAATTTGGATAATTTCAGACCTATAAATGCCAGTGTCAACAGAACAAAAGGTCAAAGGAAGCTGTAAACTACCACTACATGACATCACAAGTTGGAACACAGCATTTGGGGGTTTGGAGATGTAGACAGACTAATAATGCAGGATGAAAACATGAATGAAACAAAACACAAATCTGGGTATGTTTTTGATACAACATTCTAGCATGGCTTAAAGTGTAATACAGGACCTTTAAAAGTGTATTGGAAATAGGAATTACATTGATATATTATGTTTTTTGTTGAATATATTTGTCCTCTCTTCTTCCTGTAGGTCAAATGTGTGTTTTGTCAGTATTTGGTGCAACCCATAGATTGTATATATAAATGGACATATCTAACCTGTTGGCCGACACAAAAGTAGAAACAGGAAGTGAGCATAGGCTGCACTTCCGGCTCCATCGACTCCAGTTCACTTTGTATTGAAAAATGTCGCCCCCTTGCTGTGACTGCTGCTGTCAGGCTCCTCATGTCAGTCTTAAAATGTTCGTATTAACCTGCTCTACATGATCCTGGTGTTTTGATTTTGCTATATTGTTTGTAAATCAATTCCTAGTCATAATAAGGAACTCAACTCCAAATTCACCCTATAACTTGGACTAACTATAACCTTGTATATTTTGTATATATTGTGTATGTCCATGTCTCACCTCGTCGACTTGAGCCTGTGTCTGCTGCAGTCGTCTGTTACTGGTCAGATTAGGAGCTGCAGCTGGAGGCCCATCTGAGTTTGTGGGCCCTGGAGCCCCTGGAGCGCCCTCTGGTGTCGACCTGAGGGAAACACAAGAACGTCACACTTAACTCATGACAGAGGCTGTGTTTACATGCAGATCAAAAATCTGTTCATTATCTGATTACTGGAGTTACCAGATTATTGAGATGTCATGTAAACAATTACAACTGAGGAATGATTTCTTTCTGGTTGTTTACACGTGTGCAGGTTTGACAAAGACAATTGTGCAAAAAAGGGCAAACTAATGCAGCAAAGACAAAATTTAAATGTTTAAAGTTACTTTAACATGCATATGCCATTTGCCATTTTTGCTACTTTAACAGTTTTTTTTTTTTGTTTTTTTTTAGTCAATCAGTGAAGCTAGTCTATGAAGTGGTTATTGTAAAAGTAGATAATTGGTAACCATATTTAATATATATAATAAAAACATATTTTTCTTTGTTCAATTTCATCTGTGCTTATTGGTCAGAGTTATAGTCTAGAGTCTGAGCTGTACATTGATCTGTTGTTCAGTATCGGTGTCATTTGGACTGATCGTTTTGATGACTAACTGACCTCTTACTGAAACACATGACTCACCAAATGCTGCATTTACCTCCACCTCTGAGGTATCTGGATTGTATCCTGCACTCAGCCTAAGTAGGTCTATTGTTTAAGTACTATTACTACTACAATAACTGCTACTGTGGCACAGCTATTGTTACATGTAGGCTGATTACTACAACCTTTACGCCTACTATCAAATATCACTACTACTACCTGCTACTACAAGTCCACATACTAGCCTGCTACCACTGTTATTACCAGGCCTAATAATGCTAGGTACTAAACTGAGACTAAACTAAACTTAGACCAGGACCAAATCAGATTTACTACATCATGACTAAACTGGACTCAAGGAGGATCAAATCAGTCTAAAGAAGAGACAGTCTTACTTTTACCTATACTTCCTGAAGCTGTGAGGCCTTAGTGACACTGTTCAAATCTAGGCTCAGAACATTTCAAACATTTCAAAGTTTATAATGACTATTTTTGCTTATCTTATCTTATTCATTTGTATTGAGGTTTGTAAACTGCCCATCATTTTTAAACCACTCAAGTACTTCAAAATGACATATACTCAACTTGAGCCAACTATTACTAGGCCCATTATTAAGATGAAGTAGGTTTACTCAAATTAATTCTACTACCACATATATGCAGGATAAAGCATATTTTTGACAGCCCTTCTATAAATAAACAGAGACCTGTAGACTTTATAGTATTTTTAACTTATAGGGTACATAATCTTCTTAGTTATGGTATATTAAGAACACTTTTGCTGCTTGTTTGAATGATTCTTCATTTTCAGTAAAACACAAACGTCAGACAAAATGGTTCCAGATTAGACCCGCTGCAGCCTCCAATAAACGAGTGGATTTAAACCAAACACGCGACCTCATCTGTCTCCCCTCCCCCAACCACCAAACACCACAAAAACCTACAATAAAGACCGTAAAATAAAGAATACAACTTCATCTGCGCCTATGACTCATGCTTTTAAGAGAAACAATTTGGCCAGTCGTAAAATTGATTAAAACACGCCGTAAATCACTGCTATAGTCCCAAAGCATTTTAGCAGATTAAAATACGTAACTTTCATATCAATAAACTAAATAATAACGCAGATGAATGCAGAAAAATTATGGAATTGTATTATATAAGTGTTGTGTAAAAAGTAAAGTTGGTTTGCACGTATTTTGTTGCAGGTTATTGCGTAAAAAGTGCGTAAAAGCGCGGGTACTCACATGTTTTTGCGCGGATGTTGCAGATTATAATCCCGGATGAACGGAGAGCAGATTCAGTGATGGAGCAGAGATAGAAGAGGAGGAAGAGGAGGAGGAGGAGGAGGAGTGATGGAGGGGTGACACACAAGGATGAGAGAGACAGAAAAAGAGAGGAAGAGAGAGAGACGTCCCGTGCATAGACAGGCCACGCCCACACGAATGACATAGCAGGGAGATTGCCAAGATTCAACAGTTGTTCTATCTTTTTTTAGACTAAATATATGAGTTTGATTATTAAAGCAACTTAAATTTTCTTGTTTGTTTCAGTTTCTTTCTATTACTTTGGCAACAAATTGAGTTCTCATGAAAATACGATATATAACCATTGATTAACATTGCTATTAGATTATTGGTGCGTTTCACATTACGTCACAACCTTCTGTTATTTAATACAGCTAAAATTATTGTATTATTATTGCTCAAATGTAGGTTTTTGTTGTAATACAGCGAGTTCTTGCATTTAATCCGTAACAGAAATGATCCAGTTCAACCTTTGTGAATTTAACTTTTAGAAATTTCATGACAAAATACAATATAATCAACTGCTGGGTTTCAGATGACGTCACAACATTCTATAAACTAATAATGTTAATACAGATGGGGGTTAAGTAAAATGAATTTTGTAGAAATGCTGATTTTTGTTGCCATACAGTGAGTTCTTGGGTCTAGTCACTAACAGAAGCGATGAAGTTCAACATTTCTGGCTTTACTTTTTGGATATTTCATGGTAAAGTACAATGTAATCAATAAAATTAAATGAAAACCATCAATCTGTATTAAATAACATTGGTCTATTGGTGGTTTTCAGATTCTTAAATGTGATGATGTCATACTTCCAGATGTCATGAAATGGTGAAAAAGTTTATTGACAAATCTTTAATGTAATATTTTCTATGGGTGACTAGACCCATTAACTTGCTGTGTTACAACAAAAACCTACATTTTAACTGTATTTACTTCAGCTGCCCCCCATCTGTATTAAATAATATTGGTGGTTTTCAGATTCTAGAATATGATGATGTTATACTTCCAGATAAGGGGCAAGAAACAGTTTTTCCCATTAATTACTTTGCCATGAAATATCCAAATGGTAAATTCAGAAATGTTGAACCTGATATTTTCCATTACTGAATAGAACAGGGGTCTCCAGCCTACAGCTCGGGAGTTACCAGTAGCTCTCCACCCCTTTCCAAGAGGCTCACCAAGGGATTTCTGAATTACACATATTGTACTGAAGAAGAAAATTTGATTAATTAAATGCACTGTACATGTACCATTTTGATGCCTAACTATGCACACTAATAAATGGATAATGGTTTATGTTTTATAGACATCTAACTAAGGGTGACTAGATTTTCAAAATCAATAACTGGGACACCCCTGGTTTGTGATGATTGGCAATAATAAAATTGTGAAACGAGTGCGTAATAAAAAAAAAATCTTTTTTGAATTCGGATCATTCATGTTTAGTCACATTTTCTTTGGGTTTTGGTCATTTTTAAGCAGCTTTTCTGTATTTTACCAAAACAAATGTCAATTTATGCTTCTCTTTATTGTTGATAGGGACCAAATTGGTGAAAAAGTGGGACACCTGGGACATTTCTTGTATAAAGCTGGGACAAATCACTGGTTTTGGATAAATCTGACCGAGTAAGTCAGGACGTCTGGTCACACTAATCTAACTGTAGGTTTGCTGTGGCCCTACAAAATTTTTTGTGAATGCTTAAACTTATAGCTCTAGTTTTGTAAAGGTAGCTCACTGGGGCAAAAAGGTTGGAGACCCCTGGATTACACTATACTTTACCAAAATATATTGGGCAGGTAAATTCAGAAATATGGAACCTGATCATTTCTGTTACTGACTAGACCATGCTATGACAAAAATTTTGAACAATATTCATTTTATTTGCCCCCCCATCTGTATTAAATAACATTGGCCTATAGAATCCTGTGACGTCATCTGAAACCCAGCAATAGCGAAACTGTCTCTAGCCCCCATTTGGAAGTATGACATCATCACATTCAGGAATCTGAAAACCACCAATAACATTACACCTGTCACAGTAGTTTTGTACAGTACTTCCTCTTCCTCTCCCCCTCAGACCCTGGACCTCCGCCCTGTCTCTGATTTACCGTGTGCTGTGGAGGGGCTTGTTCCTCGTCACTGAACCTGCTGCCGTTGTTTATTTATTCACTGCTGTGTCAGGTGAACACACAGAGGCACACAGAGACAGGAGGGCTGGGTTAAAATGAATGGCATAACCTGATTTAAAGGTGCATTGTGTAACTTTTACATCAAATGCTCTTCTCCATGGAAATGTCATTGCATGGAGAAGAAATGTCATCTGTATTTTTGAGCTATAAAACCACCTGTAATTGAATAAATGTAAGGTAGGACTGTTTAATGTCATACTGTGGAACATTCCAGGTAGAGCAATGACATATCAATTAAAGAAAAGTTACACAACACACCTTTACATACCGTACTTTTGGATTTCTGAAAGTAGAAACCAAAAAGAAAATCAGTGTTTAATCCATACTGTCAATAGGCTGCATTCACATTTTAGGTGCTTATATAACTCTACGACAGTCTGTGTTTTTGAAAGAAATATCCAAACCTATAATCCACAAATGTTGAATTTTATTATTATTATTTGTTTGGAATTGGCTCCACAAACTTGTGCATTAATCTCATGTCTTAAAGTCCTTTCAGTTTACAACAGTCACGTCTTTGGGGTTGAATAATTGCACCACTCGCTTCTATACCATTTCATTTTTCTCAGAGAAGACGCTGAACTTTGTGCCATTTTTTTATTTTTTTTTTCCCAGGTAGATTTCACATAGATTTGTGATTTAAAATGCTACGCAATTTGGTTTGTCTACGGGCACAGAGACATGGCCATGCAATTCAGTGTATTTTCCTGTTTTTTTTTTTCTATTTTTTTGGTAATGTTTAACTTTGGGTTTTAGGGATGAAAACCCATATTTTTGCTAAATGGCTTGGGGGAGGAGTTTTGGGGGATAAAGGAGGGCCCCTCTCCCTCCCTCAGTCAGTTTAGACCCGGACGTGCACGTGGAAGGCAACATCCTACAGATTATAAAACACATTTCTGCTGTTGTATGAATATATTGTAAATACTTTTTCTTTGTTGTTTCACTGTTTTGTATATAGCACTCTTCAAACTTTATTATTTTGGGAACATTGTCACTAATTAAATCAACAAAACATCCTTCTGACTACGCCATCATCATTACCCTAGAATAGAACCCGGTCACATACAGTACCATCAGCATTTGAAGAAACCATAAAATTTTGCAAAACCTTTTATTAAATGTAGCTTTATTTTACAGCAGCACAGGAACTATAAATAAAATGTTATAAACCAGATCAACACAGACCATTCCCTTCAGCCAGCTCTTATTTACATTCAGACACATTCAGAGCATATGATAACTGCTTTACAGATATTGAATTCTCAGTTTAAGTTAATAAATTTGACATTTTCCATAGTATTACAATCCATACAATATCTTCCATTTGTCATAAGCCTACTTTTACATAGATTTACAGCAGAACAGCATACATATACATTCATATTTGCGTATTTTTAATAACAAAGGAAGCCATCTCTATTTTTGCATCCAAATCCATGTCCATGTATAAATGTGAAGTATAAATGTACCTCTGCAACTTTGGGCGTGAGGCAGGTTCACACATCAGTATATCCACGGATTATTCATTCACTTCAGGGCACTAGATTCAAACTATTTGGGGAAAAACACAATTTCTTTAACATTAAAAGTGCATTGTGTAGTTTTTGTGGTGGATGTTCTGCGGTATGGCATTAAATGTAGTTAATATGATTAAGTGAGATTCAGGAGCAGGACCACGCCTCAACCGTCCTCTCCTCTCACCAGCGAACCACAACTCTCCTCGACCACGCCTCTAATTTCCCAGAAGCCTATATGTAGCAGCCTTTCCCATCATTCCAGTTTGTCTCGGCTAACTCGAACCCACCCTCCCATCCCCTATTTTGTCTTTCAGTCATAAGACCCCTACAAGGGGGGGTCCTGTTCCAGCTGGGCCAATTGTAGATTGAGACGGAGCCCCCACCCAGTCATCTCAACCCAGCCATCTCTGCCCCGCTTCCGACATTATCAATAAACTACTTCGCACTATGTCGTTGTTGGTGTGGTCCTAGCTAGTGAAGCATGTCTATTTCCATCGTAACACACAAGTGATGACACCAGGCCAAGTTACAGGTCAGGTCTGTGGAGATTTTACCCGGCTTACAGAATGAAGAATGTTTTTCATTGAATTTACGAGCAATAAAAACACCTGTAATTGTATTAAATGTAAGATTTACGTTTAATACCATACTATGGTAGCCAGGCTGGCGCCACCTAGTGCCTCTGCTCAATTTTATTTCTCTCCAGCGACTAGGTCAGGAATCAGAATACACTAGACGGTTTGCAAAATCAGCCAATCAGCGAAGAGCCATACATTCAGTGTTGGCAATGATTTCCAAGATCGAGGATTTAAAGCCAGAATAAAGAGAATGTTTGGTGAATTTTATCAAGGGGAAAGATGTTATTGCCCTTCTTCCTACAGGATTTGGGAAAAGCTTAATATACCAGTTAGCCCCATTAGCAGCGCATTACATACGTTACAACCAAATAGCAGCGATTAGTTAAATGAAAAAAAATACCCGTCTACCATCGAGTGAACAAATTCTAATGCTGCGAGGTCAGATGGTTTCTACGAAGTGAAACCAGCTGGTCAATCAGGCTAATACTACGGAACATTCAAAGCAAAGTAATGTCATCTCCATGAAGACAAACAAGTGTCAAACCCTCCACCACAAAAGTTACATGGTGCACCTCGAAATAAAACTATTGATCACTGTACAGTATTTACATGGTATGAATCTGAAAACACTATACACGTATTTGCATTATCTACAGCAAGTTACAGTCATCTGAGACTAAGAATAAAACTAACTTAACTGGTTATTAAATTATAATAACTACACTTGAATTAGTCTTAACAAAGCAACAACAAATTAAAAAATAGTTTATTAAGAATGATGACCTGAAGCTATCAAAGTGTAATTAAATTATTTGTTCATTATGAATTAAGTCATTGTCCATGCTTTTTAAAGATGCATTATGTAACTTCTAAGGTGGAGGGTTTGCTACTTACCTGTCTCCATGGAGATGTTATTTCTTTGCATGGAATGTTTTACAGTATATATCTGCCTTGCATTTATTTAACTGCAGGTGTTTTATAGCACAATACTTTACTTGATACTATACTTTATCTCTTTGTCTTATTACTTGTCTCCATTGTTGTAACCAAAATGTAAAGTAATGACATCACCATGGAGACAATCAAGTGGCAAACCCTCCACCAAAAATACACCTTTAAGGCTAATTAAAGTGTAGTGGTACTACTACTCTCTCTCTAATTTGCTACATTATAAAATATATTTTAAAGCAAAAATATTTTCTCCGACTAATGTAAATTGTCCACAGTAACAAGAAACTGCAAACTACCCTGCAAAACATTTTCTGCAAGACTTAAATCAAAATCAGACTAATCATTTGAATGTTTTGACAAGTTTAGATCTTAGCCTTGAGCAGTGGTTCTCAAACATTTCACACCGAGTATCACCTAAAACTATTTGGCTTTCTGAGTACCACCAGATTAAAACCAGATCTAAATCAAGTCAAAGTTAGAGCTACACCAGGTCTAAAATGAGACTTGGTCTAAATGAGCCCAAGGGACGACACAAAACACTGTTAGATTGACTTTAAATGAAACAAAAACTCAAAACTGCAGAGGTACCCTGCCACAGTTTGAGAAACATTGACCTAAATGACTAAATTATGACTAATATATGTCTACAATACTTCACACCAAGACAAATTTGCTATGTCTTTTTAGTAAATAAATGTAAATCTACGCAACAAAATTGACTCTTGAGAATGTTAGAATGTTGGTCATAAGCATCCCTGGAGTTGTGGTTTGTTTCATTCACACATGTTTGAGTAACCCTTTATTTTTAGTCTGTCTACATCTTCAAAGCTCAAAATGCTCCTTGTAATGTCATGAAGAGGTGGTTTCTGGGTTAACAGCTCCTTTTGCCTTTAGTTCAGTAGAATTAGTCAATTCCAGGGCTGAAATCATCCAAATGATTCTAGTGAAGATGTATGGACTCCATACTATGGAGTTTAAAAACATAGTAGATGACATCACAAAGTGGAATGAAGTGTTTTTAGTATGTTTTTTTAATCTCAAATTGCCCTGGAATTGCCAATCTCTACTCAGTTTAAGGTAAAAGGAGCTGTTAACTCGAAAACTACATCAAGGTGGTTGTGTGAATAAAACAAAACACAACTCCAGGTATGTTTGTGATAAGGAAATAGAAATCTGAAAATAGTGTAAAATGGGCCCTTTAATAAATATTTCCTCATATATAGATTAACCAGGCTGCAACTAATACAGTATAGTACTTCTAAAACTACTTCTACTATGAAACCTGTATATTTTGTGCCCATTCATTTCATGCACTGGGGGTCTCTTCATTGAGGATAAGGCAAGTCAACACTTCAGCTTATAATAACCGCTGTACAAAAATAAATATATCATTCATTTAACATGGCAAGAATTTTGTACTAGTAACTTAATTTAAATTTGCCCTTAAAAGTACTAGAATGTGCAAAACTATTCTTGTGCAAATCATTTTAATAACCTGCATCTTAGGCATTAAAAGCAGACAGAACGTGGCTTTATCAACAACTGTGTGCAAAATAAAAGTCAAATTTGTGTGTTTTAAATATTACAGGCAAAAACTCAAGTATTTCTCCAAAGATTCAAGTTTAGGAAAGGAAATTTAGAAGTATTTGCAGCATTTGGCCACAGGAGGGCGCTTCATAGTTCTACAGTAGGTCTTGAAAATGCCCTTAAAACCTTACTCTAGTCATTTCTATATTTGAAAGTATCTGTACACAAAAATATCTTAAATACTTATGTTGCAAAATTAATATGTTGAAAATATAACTAGATTTCATATCAGACACATTTCCATTGCTTATACAAAGGAGGACATGGGTGTTATTTGGCCTGGGGCAGACTGGTAAAAGCGCGGCTGTCAGTCTGTGCAATTGCCCCTTCCAGCCACAACACAAACAATACATTTTAACATAAGCAAGGTGGGGGAAGTGTCTTGCCAAAGGACACAACAGTATGAACTATAGATAAATCTACAGATCTATGTAGAACTGCTTTTTACTTGTACCTTAACCAACACATTTACAGGCATGTTTTAGCACATTTTCTTAAAACTATGATCTGATTGTTGGGAGAATTGTGATATTATGATATTTCAGTTGTCAATTTTCCCCACCCCTTTAGTAAACTGTCTGCTGTAGCACCATTAAAGCAGAGGATAAACTCTGTCCTGTCCTTCTAGAGTAAGTTTAAAATGTGTCTAGTTACACAAATAAATTTAAGTGCTTTGTTGGAGCTTTTGGACATAGTAATAAATGGTGAATCTTAAAGATACTCATTGGGCAGTGCTAGGGTTTCCTCCAGGCTGGAGGGGGCGCTCCACTGTTGCCTTCACTGGTACAGTCACTGTTTGAGTCCTCATCAGGAGGTTTCTTTTTCTCTCTGTCGTCTGAGTCGGAGTCTTCAGCTGCAGCCATCAGGACCAGGGACGGGGACTTCCTGTGGTCAGAGGAAATATGGTGAAATGGAGCCTGGAGAATCCAGATTCAAGTTCTAAGGAATTGTATTTTCATCACCTTATCTGGTGTGACAAAATGTATGTGTTCTAAAGTCTGGTTTCAGATGCACTGGTTCAAATGATACTTAAAGTACACATATTATCAAGGTTCCTACAGTTTACTTGAAATGTTTAGTTACGTAATCAATGCATCTGCAAACAAATTCCCGCTTTTTTATATAACAATAAAGATGGATTCTATAAGGCTACACCTGTTCACAATTATTGCAAATGAATTATACACAAGGCACACGCACTATATTCTGTCATGTAGGTGGCCCAAAAATATTTTCTGGTGGAAATTATACGGAGAACACCTGAACCCAATCATATCGATTTAGAAAAAACAAGCAACATGACTCTGCATTGGTACTTTGTGCCAGAAAAACACAGGAAAATAAGGGATATATTCCAGGACATTTGACCTTTTTTCAAAATTGTCATGTATTTTCCACAGGCCATTTATTTTCCATATTTTACAGAATTCCAGGATGCAAGCCTCATTATGCAAAGTATGTGGTTGTAATGAAGCATTCTGAGGGCAGAAGTGCTCAGAACAAGTCTGATGATATTTAGCAAATGCAATGATTGGTGATGATACCTATGATATCACAAATCGGGGAAATTTGAGTGAATTTTTGAGGTTCAAAGCGAGAGGGCCTCATAAACAGGGCTACTGAAACAATGTTATTTTATGATTCAAAAAATCTATTTGACCTGTTCCCACTCTGAGTGATGAGCCTCCTGCAGGTCTCCATCTGCACATCCAGGCCTCTCTTCATGGAGCACATCTCCATGTACTCGTGAAGGTGCCTTGTCATGTCGCTCTTCGCTGTAGCCAACTCCAACTGAGAAAAGTAAAGTGTGTTGAGATAATGAATCATCTGTGCTGATTAAAATGTGGCTCACCTCGATCTGGTCTATGGTCTCCTGATATTCTTTCTCTCTGGATTTAAACAGAGACTCGGTGTCGTTGATCACTTTCTCGATAGACTCCTCTGGCTGCTGCTGCTGAACACAACAGTATTAATGGTTGAATAAATGAATTTTACTGGTCTTACATTTCAAATGCTCACATTATTTATATAATTATATTATAAGTTTATCCATCCTCACCTCGGCCTGAGTCTCGACCAGTCCGTATCCTGGAAAGTCCTCCCACAGCAGCAGAGTCTCTTCAGTCTCCTCCCAGGCCAAACTGTCACAGTCGTCCTCAAAATCACACTCCCTCCTGAAACAAACAACATATATCTAGGTTCCAATGCTTATGCATTTATACCAAGCCTTTCACTGACAACTACAGAAATATGACCAATTAAGGACTGCACACATACTGTACAAGGAGGAAAATTCAAAGTACAGTAAGGGCTGTTGTCACATAAAACAAAACTAAAAATATATGAAAACATAATGTAAGTGCCATTTGCAGCAAAAAAAAAGAAAAAAAAAAAACATAAACAATATGACTACAACCACTACTTAATAATAATGTATGAGTCTTAAATAGCACAGATGCTCAACACCAACACTCACACACCACATTGACTACTACTACTACTACTACTACTACTACAACTACTACTACTACTACTACTACTACTACTACTACTACTACTACTACTACTACTACTATTCAGTGTGGGTGAAGAGTCTTAGTACAAACATACGTACAGGTGGTTGAGCATCCTCTGCACCTGCTCGTTGATCTGATTAGCTGAGGTGCTGGACTCCTCGTCTTTAGCCCCGCCTCCCTCGCTCTCTGATAGGCTGCTGACCTCATCCCCATCGCTGGCTGTCTTCACAGATTGGCCGCTCAACTTTCTGGTTCGACGCGTTAGAGTGGAGGGAGGTGTGGATACCTGACCAAAACAAGACAGTAAGGAGGTTGTGGGTTAGACTCCTGAAGTCTCTGAGTGGAGTGTACATATCCTCCCTGTTAGCCTGACTCCTCCTCTCCGTAAAGAGGAGGCTGTGGGTTAGACTCTTGATCTCACAGTGGCAGAGTGGTTAGCCTGTACCTGAAACATGGAGCTCATGTCTTCACTGTTTCTCTGCTGAGCAACGTCGCACAGTTTAGCTGTGATGTCGATCCGTCTGCAGATGTCCATGTCCACCTTCATGGCCTTCTCCTGGATCTTAGTGTCCAAGTCTGACAGATTCTACAGAAAAGTGTGTAATAATAAATATTATTTTTGGACAATAAGATTCTATATTTTAGAATTTTGTTACACATAAAAAGCATGAACAAGACAGTGATGCAAGATGCATGAACAAGACAGTGAAAAAGTTTCAGTTGTTAGAAGATTTTTTTAAAGCCCATTAAGTTTGATCTGTTTTAGCAAAAAAATGCTGTACTTTTCTGTGAGGTAATTTGTTGTTGTATAAATGTCCACACCAGCAGGACAGTTTTAGGAATTATTCTAAGAGCATGCAGATAGAGGGTAGACTGTACTTACATTACTGACCAGTCCTTTAAACAGGACAAGCTCGGCCTTCAGATGTTTCACTGTGAGAGACAGTTTGTCCTGGACCACCTCACTCTCTTGCAGCTCCTGGACAAACAAAACAAAACACACACTTTTATTATGGAGAATCCAAATAAAAGACATGCATGCAACTGGGCAGAATTAAGTTATGACTAAATACAGTGATATAAATAGTCAATCCAGACTAGCCAGATCAATCTTGGATCCAGTAGCCCTGTTCAAGGGGGATTTGCAGTGGTTCAGATGACAATATTCTACAGGCCTGATATTGATTAAAGATGAAGATATTTCTATAAAAATAAATTGTTCTTCAGATGCGTCTACAGTTAGCAATGTGTATTACTATTAAACTTAAAGGTCCTACATTACACAAAATAGATTCTTGAGTTTTAAGCCATGCTAGAGTATTGTTGCCTCATCAAAAACAAAGATACTTGGAGTTGTGTTTTGTTTCATTCACACATGTCTGAGAAATCCTTAATATTATTAGTGTGTCTACATCTCCAAAGCTCCAAATGCTGTTCCACTTTGTGATGTCATGTAGAGGTAGTTGTCAAGTTAACAGCTACCTTTTACCTTTAGTTCAGTAAAGATGTGCAATTTAAGTGTTGAAAGTATCCAATTATGATTCTAGTGAAGGTGTATGAAGTTTAAAAACACGGTGGAGTTTATAATGACAGCTGAATAACAGTAAAATGTACAAACACACACAATACAATAGAATACATTGCTGGTCAGCGTCAAGGACATAACTGTTTTAAAGTTCAGTCCTGATTTAGTCCTGGTTTAGACTGTATTTACTACAGATATTAGTAGTGAGTAGTTTTCAGAATAATATATTGTACAATGCATCAGTACTCATACTTAAGTAAAATGTTTGGTTACTCTTCTCCTGTGAGAAGTCCGCAAGTAACAAAAGCTTTATGTTGACCATATGAAATGATCTGAACATTTGTGTTTCTTACTCGCTTCAGATAGTATTTAGTTCGTCCTATTTTTGTGGAGAACAACTGTGGCTACTCTGTCCACTTCAGAAAATTATAATCATTTAAACATTTTATTTGTGATTCTTACATCATCAAGTTCTGCCACTTTGTCCTGCAGGTCCATTCTGGCCGTGTACTCCTCCTCCCATCTGAAACACATGAGAGAAACACAGATACAGTTACTCACATGAAAATGAATTAAACCTGAGTCACATCTTTAAATATGAATTCCATTATAATTCATGAACTCGCAGCAGTGGATTATGGGACTATATTTGTGAGATAAATGATGGTTTCTATTCCTGCTGCAGCTCCTCTGTCCTTCACTGTGTGTTACATAACAGAGACAGACTCAGAGGAGAGACAGGACTCGGAGCACAGATCACCTTCTATGTGTCTCATGTGGGCTCATTATTATTACATCACTGTTTTCCAAATGACACCTGAGAGAAGTGACTCATTTGTTTTGATATTACTGTGCTATTGAAGAAATTCATGGTTTAAATGTGCAGTATTGAAGCCGGTAAGTCCATATTTCCATATTATTGCTGAAGTTTTTTCTACATTTGAGTAATTTGGAAAACTACTGCAATAAGATTTGCCAAATGAGCATGTTTTTTCTTAATTTGAAGTGCCACGGCTTTTTTTTTTTTTTTTTTTTTTTAGTTAATTGAAATAAAAAGCTTGTTCTTTTCCTATTTTTATGAAATGCATATTTTATGCTTGTTCTAGTGAAAAAGTATAAATCAAGTGCTAGTATTTATTCATTTTTTAAAACACTTATCGTATTTAAGAAGGCATTTTTTCCAGAAGGATGTTACTGCTTTGCCATGAATGTTAATAAGACTAACTGAGATTCAGGAGCAGGAGGAGGTTGAGGCGAAGCCTGATTCATCAGCCGGTTTCACTTTGTAGAAACCGTCTGACCTCACAATGTTAGAATTCGCTCACTTGACGGTAGGTGGGTACTTTTTATCATTTAACTAATCACTGCTATTTGGTAGTCACGTATGTAATGCGCCGCTAACGGGGCTAAGTGGTATATTAATCTTTTTCCAAATCCTGTAGAAAGAAGGGCAATAACATCTTTCCCCTTGATGAAATTCACCAAACATTCTCTTTGTTCCGGCTTTAAATCCTCGATCTCGGGAATCGTTGCCAATACAGAATGTATGGCTCTTCGCTGACTGGCCGGTACCTGAACTTGCACTTTCTGGGTTTTTGCAAACCATCTAGTGCATTTTGATTCCTGACCTAGTTGCTAGAGAGAAATGAAATTGAGCGGAGGCACTAGGTGGCACCAGCCTGACTAGTTGAGGCGTGGTCCTGCTCCTGAATCTCCAGCAAACCACAGCTCTGTTCAACCACACCTTCAGTTACCCAGAAGCCCCAACACTGTCTGTCTCTCGACCCCTTCCCTCTCATCCTGTGTCTCCACCCAGCCACCACATCCATATCATCAAAAAATATATTTTATAGTGAAATGTAAACAGCATTTCAATGTGGCTGTTTTTATTGCTCAAAATACCTTGAGAGTTCATTTTTATTACACAGTGTGGTATAATTCTGGCCCTGTTTTCATTTTAGTATAGATTTCCAATTAATATTTCAAAGTGTTCCTAACATCTTTGTTATATCATTCAAAGGCTTTAAACCAGGAGAGTTCAGTAATGGAACATAAAGTCAATCAATATACATAATTCCATATTTTAGTATTTCCAAAAATCCTGCCTCTCCAAGTCAAATTTGGTTCTGCACAATGATCGGTGAATGCTGACTGTAAAACGCTTCATAAGAGTTTTAAAAGATTACACTGCAAAAACAATGGGCTGTGATGCAAATGGTGACATCATCGTGACGCAGCAGAGGCTCAAGGGAAATGTAGGATTACAAAGAGGGGGCAAAGAGGAGATTTTAAAAAAGGTACAGAGGGAGGAGTGACAATAAAGTGACATCAGTGTGGGACGTGAGGGCTATGCTGTGGCGCAATGCAGAGACTTGGGAGAGAGGGAGAGAGGAGGGGAGGAGACAGGAGAGGAGAGATGGAGAGAGAGGGAAGAAAGGGGAGGAAAGGAGGAAAGAGAGAGGGGAGGAGAAAAGGAGCAGTGAGGGACAGAGTAGAGGAGAAGAAAGAGGGTACGGAGAGAGTGAAAGGAGAGGCAGGAGGAGGAGATATAAAAGAAAAAAGAGAGGGTAGGTAGAGGAGAAGAGAGAGAAGGAGGTTAAAGAGGGCAGAAGGAAGAAAAGAAGAAGGAACAGAGGGAAGAGAAATTGATTAATTATTTGATGTAGCCCAATGAGCTCAATAAAAGGAACTGTGTGTATCCCGCTGCACTTTCAACAGCTGTATAATGTTACTAGAATCACATCTGAACCTGTGTCACCAGAGCCTTAACCTGCAGAAAGAGAACACATATAAGTTTTTTTCATTCTCAGTATATGAACAGACCATGGCTCATGTGAAAGCTCAGAACCTCCAGAATTCTCTCCCTGAGCTGTGGAGGCTGCACTGGCACTGACTCATGACTGGCTGCAGGTTCTGGTATTTACGTAGTGACCATTCAGATCAGAGGCATTTTAGCTTTAAACCAACTGGATTTCAGCATTGAATAAGCAGCATTACTACCGTTATCAGTCAAAGTTATTTTCTATGTGAACATGTCTACCAAGTATCAAGAGAAACAGGTAGGTCAAGTTTATGAAATTTGAAATCAGAAATTTACATAAGATTCATTGAAAGGTATAGAGAAGATATAAAAGTCATAGGACTCCATGCATGCTCTGATAAGACAATACACTCACATGTGTAAGAATACATGCCATGGAAAAGTACTGTATGAGCAGAACCTGACTTCACATAGAGACTAAGTACTGGAGCTCAGTCTTGAACGCTAAATCACTCCCCTCAGAATAAATGAGAGAGCAGTGGCCCAGATGAATGGGCTCATAAAGAAGTGAGTCTTTAATTCACTACAGACCAGAGGCTGCACATAATCAAGGAATATCAAGTCTACCATTATCACTCAGAAGAAACACTGTCCAGGTCATGACTATGTAACAATACAGAACTACGAGAGGGAATAGTTAAAGTTATTTTCAATTATTTATTATTGTGCCCTTAAGCAAGACACTTAAGGTGTACACTTTACAATTACTTGTATATTTGCTAATTATAAAAAAAAAAATATCTAGGTGGCGCCAGCCTGGGTACATGTAGACAATATGGTTGTCAAAAGTATTGAAACTAGATACTCATTTGAGCAGGTATCGATACTGAAAAAATAATTCCTTGTGTCAGACCAAATGGTATAATGTACACATATTATTATTGCCTAAAAAAGAGCTTTTAAATGATCATTTGGGTATCAAAATCAGCACTGAAATCTCATATTCCAATGCCAGCGCTTGTGTCAATTCAAATTGCGATTTTGATGTGTTTGTGATGATTCTTGCAGCCCACACACAACTTTTCTGGTGCAGGGTTCAATTGCAGTGTTGAGCTGCTCTAACCCCAGCTATGGTTTGATGATGAAATAAACAAGGTAAAAGCTTAAAAATATAAGCATAAAAAAGTCAGCTTAATCTTATCTCATCCTAAATTTGCTACATGTTGTACCCTCTCCCCCCATGCTGCCAGAACTTTCTCTCTCCCTGTCTCCCCCTCTCCTCCCTTCTCTCTCTCTCCTGGGTGTGATTCATTGATCCATGTGAAGGCTGGACTCAGCGTTTCAGTGGGAGCTCAGGGCCATGGGCATAAATCTGTACAACATTGTGATACTGTGATAATGGTTTATCTCAGGCGCTAAAACATCAATGACGAGGTACAGGAGGAGTCAACATCTGTGTACTAATACTGCTACTGCAAAAATAACATTACTAGAGTAGAAATAAAAGTATTGGTTGTTTACTAAATGGCAATATTTTCTGTATCTATTATAGGTCTACTGTACTTTTGTGCCGCAAGAAAAAACAAAACACTCAGAAAGGGAGGTTCAGAAAGGGAGGTTCAGAAAGGGAGGTTCAGATCAGACTGAGAGATCCTCTGTATAGAATAAGAAATCAATCAAGCAATCAATACCAGGAAAAAAATCACACTAATATTATATTAATAACACTAATATTTTAGGCATGACTTTGTGAAGTATCTTGCGCAAGAACTGGAGAAAGCAGGATTCAAACCATGATACATAGCACTACTGCTGTTTCTACTACAACTACTATTCCACTAAGTTAAAATATGCAAATTCATAATTCATGTGACTCTATTTTTAATTTGATAGTCATATCTAGACAAAAAAAAGTATAGTTACGTTCTACTTTTGCACCTAGAGAAAGCAACTGTCAAAAAGTTTAAGATGCTGAAATCCTTGCCTGGATTGACTGGAGTGAAGAAAAAGGCTCAAAAAAGCTCCAGAAGCCCGAGAACAGCCAGGCGGCCTCAAATCATGCAGCGTTACAGTGACTGAACGGATGCATTCAATTGAAGTGTGCACTGAATAAAACAACATCAAACTTTGTGAATGCATTCTCCTGTTTCCCCAGGCACCACACATTCACCCCACATCACCAGAGCAAAGAACATTTTGGCCTTATTGATGCTGAAAATGACTTTAAGGTCATCAAGATCATACATCGATCATACGGGCTCTTTTCTGTTTCATTTTAAGCATCTGTGTTGATATACAAGTAGACGGATGTGAGATGAAGAAAGAGGAGGGAGGAACACTTCTGAGCAGCAGAGCGTTTTTTTGTAGTCCATGAAGACAGGTGAAGGCAGATGCAGTTGCCTTTTTTCATCTTCACTTTGCCTTCGCTCACCTACTTAGTAGTGTCGAAGGGTAGTTCACTTTCAGCCGCCATCACCACCTTGCTCATCTTAAACACACCTAATAGGTTCTGTTCACGCTTACGTCACAAAATCAGTAGATGTTTGGAAATGTTTTGGAAACGAATTGCGGAAGATGATTTCTTTTGGGTTCTGCTGGTGATAGTTTTCCCAGATTTTGTCAGAGTTACTGAGAAAATGGCCCAGTTTTCTTCATCCAGATGTCACTGTATTCTTTCTTTTTTCCTATATAAATTGCCTATTCATTTGTGTATTATGATTTGTCTAATTTAAAAAAACAAAAGATCTCATTGTAGTGTTCCGTTATGTTCAGCAGATCAACAGTTCCAACCAGCTGCCAGTAAGTGACATCGATCCGATTAGAGTCCCGTTCCCCGTGGAAAGCTTTGGCAGGTTGTGAAGACACTGCTGCTGAATCCATAGTTTTACCACATGCCCAGTGTCGGTAACTACACCGGAAGTCGTAATCTGCATGTTTCCAGCGTCTTCTGGTAAGCCTATTGCAACAAATAGTCAAGCAATATCTAACTTTAAGTATCTTTCTCCCTGACAGTGTTCTTGCAGGCTCCACTTCTGAGAGGAAAGCAGATCTACAAAACCATAACCACCGCTCTAATGGGATCGGGCCAAAAGTCAATACGAGGATTTATCAGATTACAGTAAGAGAGAGACGCCACAGATTCTACTGAGCAAAATGATGTTTCTATCAGAGAGATACAAAATGGCACTGCTATTTCAGGAACAGGGGGTTGTCTGCTCATCTATTTAAAGGTCCATTTACACAATATGGATTTTTGTGAAGCTTTAAGCCATGTTATAATGTTGTTATCTCATCAGAAACAGGAGCTGGAGTTTGTTTCATTCAGATCTTTTATTCATTTCAAAACACAACACACAACTGCTGGTATGTTTGTGATGAGGAAACAACATTATAACATAGATCAGAAAATAGCATAATATGGGCCCTTTAATATTATCATTTCCATCTGGACACGGTTGAACAGGCAAGAATCTAAATATAAACTTTTCTGGTTCAGGGTTTGCTACTTTGCTTCCATGGAAATGTTTTACTCATTAAGTTTACCCATTTCCAAGTGGAAAAGAAAGTGTCATCATCAGGCAGCTTACAGGTCAGATCTGTGTAGAGGAGACCCTACTCACAGTACACTATCAATGTTTTTTTTTCCAAGTATTGCCAAGATTGCTGATAAATTTACTTATTTTTTGCTAAAAGAAAACATTGAAAACCATGCATTCTTATTGTCAGTGGGCTTGCCTCTCCACAGCTTTGACCAGTAACTTGCCCTAGTTGTGTATATGGTGTTTGAATAGTATTATCTACTGTTCCGAGCCCTTTTGTGGCAATTTTAGTACAAAGTAGGAAAATTTCCTAGCCAGGCTGGCACCGCCTAGTGCCTCCGCTCAATTTCATTTCTCTCCAGCGACTACATCAGGAATCAGAATACACAAGACAGTTCACAAAAACCCAGAAAGTGCGAGTCTGGGCACCAGCCAATAAGCCATATATTCTGTGTTGGCAATGATTCCTGAGATCGAGGATTTAAAGCTGGAACAAAGAGAATGTTCGGTGAATTATCAAGGGGAAAGACATTATTGCCCTTCTTCCTACGGAATTTGGGAAAAGCTTAAAATACCAGTTAGCCCCGTTAGTGTCATGACCAAATAGCACAGATTGGTTAAATGAAAAAAGTACCTGCCTACCGTCAAGCAAACGAATTCTAACACTGCGAGGTCAGATGGCTTCTACGAACTGAAACAGGCTCATGAATCAGGCTAAAAATTTCCAGCTTTCTGGTCAAAAATATCTAAATGTGTTGCCTCAATTGGCCTTGGTGACATCACACAAGACTGCCCTGATACCTGTGGATACCTGTTAGACCAATCCCACTGTGCTTTATGCCTCCTGACCGCACCACTCTTCCCTCCTCACCTCCTCCCCTGCTCACTCTCCCCTTTAGCCCCCCACGCTCCCCTTTAGTCCTCCAGTGTTTAGTCCCACTTTAATATCACACTATGACATTTCAGACAAAGCAGTAACATCTCCATAGAGACAAGCAGGTGGCAGGTTGTCCATCAGAAAAAGTTACATAGTGCGCCTTTTATGGTCTATTATTATTTAAGATATATCAAATAAATGATTCAAAATCTTACCTCTTCTTGTACTCGTCCCTCTCTCTCTTCACTTTGGCGAGAACATTGTACAGCGCCCTGATCTCTGGCGTGATAGTGTCAATCTGCACCCCCACTCCATCGGGACAGGCCCACGGCAGACCGGACCCAAGACTGGACCCAAGACCAGACCCAAGTCCAGACCCTGAAACCCCAGTCGAATCCCTGCTGAACCTCCTGCTATGGTTAAAAGACCACATAGTCCCTGGCAAAAACCGCGGAGGAGGGGGTAAGGGACATTTTTCATTCATGTTGCTACCAGGGCTTTGCAATGGGCTTGTAAGATTCAAATTGCTGTCTGTAGATAAGTATCGGTTTGATTCTAGCAAAGGAGGAGGGTTCAAAGTTGGAGACAGGATACCCCCAGGTAAGTAGGCGGGGTTATTGGCGTTTTGTAGTGGAATATACCCTGGTCGCGTTGGGATGGGGCTAATAAAACCGGTTTGAACGCCCATGTCTTTACTAAGCAACTTCTGCATGTTTTCAATTTTGTTATTGTCTAAAGCTTGTTGCAACTGCTTCTCCAACAACTTATTTCGACGTTCCAACTCATGAACTTTGGCCAAGAAGCATCTGAAGCGCAAATTTAAAGTTTTGAGAACGCTAATGTTCGAACCTAAATCATTTCGTAGCGCAGTAGCCGCGGGGGGCGCTCTATGCAAAGGGCTGTTAAAATGCAGATAGGCCAAACCAGATGGGGGAAGCGAATTCAGATCTATGCCAGATAAGTATTCAGGGGCAAAGCTAGAGTTGTCCCCCAGAAAGGAGCTTGGATCTGGGCTAGAGGAGTCGGGTTGTCCTGGTAGGGCATGGTGGTGCAATGGAGGTGGGGGGGTGAAGAAGTTGTTCTCCCCCAAATAGGATTCATGTTTGAGTAGGAAAATCGGAAGTGCTCAAAATCCGGCATGAACCCTGACGATTGTGTCTTCTGCTTTTAACAAGTAAAAATTGGAGAAGTTATTTAGTTTGGAATAAAGAAAATAAGCTGGGACTTGTTCATCAGCTTTTTGGAGTTTAAGAGGCGAGCAGGGTTGAGCTGAGGTGCTGGTTTGAAGACCTACAAAGAAGAACATTGGGTTGTTTAATATGCAATAAAATTAAGGCTGTGCAATTAATCGCAGTTTCGATTTGTGTGTCAAATAATCTCCAAATTTGATCACGATTTCGATTTGTGTGTCAAATGATCTCCAACTGTGATCGCGATTTCGATTTGTGTGTCAAACGATTTCCAAATTTGATCGCAATTTTGATATGTGTGTGAAACGATCTCCAAATGTGATCGCGATTTCGATTTGCGTGTCAAACGATTTCCAAATGTGAGCGCAGTTTCGATTTGTGTGTCAAACGATCTCCAAATTTGATCATGATTTCGATTTGTGTGTCAAACAATCTCCAAATTTGATCGCAATTTTGATTTGTATGTCAAATGATTTCCAAACTCATATAAATGAGTTGAAACGATTTAGGGCTCAGTTACACTAGGACTTTAGAACTGTTGTCCCTAAAGCGCCATAAACTTGTCTTCTCTCCTTCTCCTGTCCCCTCTCCTCCTCCTGTCCCCTCTCCTCCTGTCCTCACTCCTCCTGTCCTCACTCCTCCTGTCCTCACTCCTCCTGTCCTCACTCCCCCTCTCCTTCTCCTCCTCCTCCTCTCTTCCTCCTGTCCTCACTCCCCTTCCTGTCCTCTCCCTCTTGTCCTCACTCCTTCTCCTGTCCTCGCTCCTCCTCTTGGCCTGGCTCCTCTTCTTGTCCTCTCTGCTCCTGTCCTCACTCCTTATCCTGTCCTTTCTCCTCCTCCTGTTTTCACTCCTCTTCCTGTCCTCACTCCTCCTGTCCTAACTCCTTCTCCTTGTCTTTATCTTCATAAACCAGGGGTCTCCAACCTGTAGCTCGGGAGCTACCAGTATCTCTCCACCCCCTTCCAAGTAGCTTGCCAAGGGATTTCTGAATTACACATATTGTGCTGAATAAGTTTAATTTGATTAATTAAATGTCTATTATCATTGTACGTGTTTCATTTTGATGCCTAACTTTGTACACTAATAAGTGGATAATGGTTATGTTTTATAGGAATTTAACTGTGCCTCATCTAAGGCTCGCCGCGGTTCTAAATTTTATGTGACCGCTAAAACTAGTAGCTCTCTGTCATTTTGGTTTTGTAAAAGTAGCTCACTGGAGGAAAAAGGTTGGAGACCCCTGCCATAAACTCTCGGAGGAGCGTATTGCAGCAGGACTCATATCTGCCGCTGGACTTATTTTCTCCACTAAAGCATTAGCTCTGCTGCCACGTGTAAACAAACATGTGATGACGTCATCGGCCGTGGTCCGGTTCGGCTCTGCAGGTGTGAGTGCGAGATACATATTTGTAGACTATATCTATTTTCAATTTGAAAGTTTTTTGTTTTTTTGAGAGTGAAATGCTGAATAAATGCATTGTGTAACTAAAAAATAATCGTTTGAATAATTGTGATTTCAATATTGACCAAAATAATTGTGATAAGATTTTTTCCATAATTGAGCAGCCCTAAGTAGAATAATAATTAAATGCTATATTAAGTGTCTACACCTATCTAATTTCATATCTTCTTTCAATACGTCTACAAATCTCCTCTTTGGTCCTCCTTTAGGCCTCCTCTTTCCTACAGCTCTAACTTCATCTTTCTTTTATCCATATACACCATATAATTCACTCTGCTACCTCTTTACCTCAAGTCAAACCTGGTATTTCATTCATATATTTAACACCTGGTTTAGAAAGCAATGCATTTTCAAACCTACATTTCAGCAAGTTTAAATCTCAGTTTCTATGTCTAAATCACATCCTCTTTCCTGTCCACAGCTCAATTCAAATGATGACTTGATTTTATTACCAATAAAATAGCCTCTCTGCTCTATCCATTAGCCATGCACTCAGGGATCCCTAGCTTTTACATCGTCATTGCTCTTAAAAATATAACATAATTCTATGCATTTCTTTTCGCAATTAAATAAGTGTATGCAAAATAGTCATATATAGACATTGTTATGCTAATGATGCCTGGAAATGTAATGGCATTGTAATCTTATACAGTTAGCAGTGTGTTGCAGTAAATACAAAGAAATCAGACACTTAAGTAGCAAAGAAATGCACTATTTTTGCAACAAGATATTTCACATTATAATCAATATTTCTGCTATATCTAGTAGGCTACTTTGAATAACTCCGCAGCAGCATGTTAAAACATAAGGGAAGCCATTTCTGTTCATACATTATTTTAGGTTACTTTTATGCATATTATAGTGGTGCAAAATAAAAATAATCCAGGTTTTTCGTAGTTGCTTCAATTGCCAGAGAATACATTAATATGAATTTATCTAACGCAAATGAACACGCTACGTCAAGGTGACTTCATAAAAACATGCGTAGTTTTTTTTGTCTATGTGTAATGCATTGATATTACCGTGGCTCGTATGTTTAAAGAAAATAGAAAATGCGTAGTTTACCTGTAGTTTTTGCGGGAAAGGCTGAAGTTTTGCGGGAGAAACGTGCCGCTCTCTCGGCCTGATGGCTCCAGCAGCAGTGCACCACTGAGGCATAAACACTGCGGCTTTTGCGCTACCGTAAAAACCGGAGCAGAGGCGCACTCACTTTAGAGACGGAATGAAGAAAATAAAAGCGCATTTAGATTTTGGATGGAGACTAGAATATACGTATTTTATGCTGCCTTCACGTGGTATGGGAAAGATGATGAAGTAGTGATTACGAGTGTGTTGCTTTTGTTGTCGTAATGAAGTGAAACATGTCGTGCCCTGACGTGTTACTTGGGTAAAACAGTTTTAATATTTTATTCCATTCCAATCCATATATTATTTTATAAAAAATATATATATATATATTTTAATATGTATATTTTTTTATTTGTATTATTATTTGTTATATTTTATTATTTATTTTAATAAGTGTAAATGGCGATGTTATTAAAATCATGTATATCACATCATTATGTAAACTACAGACTAACCAATTAACAGCAGCAGAGAACGTTTAACAGGATGCGTTAGTTGGTTAGTTAGTTAGTTAATTAGTTAATCTCATCTCGGCAGCTCGTGTATCCTAAAAATCTTGCAGCTTTCCAGTGAAAATTACGATGTGAGTGTTCATGGCCAATTTTGAAGTTTCGTTAGTATTTACGATAATTCTCAGGACGTGAAGGCACCATTGAATCCCGGAATGTTTTGAAGACTTTACTCAGTACTTGTAATCCATTTATAATGGCCATAATTTGAATTTTTTAATCTTAACTAAAGATGTGCTGTATTTATCATTTAAGATTTTTTTGTATCTTAACTCCGTTACACGTTTTGTAATGTTCCAGGTAGATTGGTTACATTAAAGTTCTTTTATTAGTCATTCTCTATATTTTTGGTTACATATTTCTGTTCTGAAGATGGGATGATGAAATTTGTTGAACCACTGGACTTAAATAGTGCAGGGATTACTGAAGAATATTGTGGTTTAAAACTGGCATTTTCCTTAATATTTTCCAAAATATTTAGTGAATCCAAAATAATGAGAAAAGGGTGCGTCAACTTTGAATTTATACAAGTACTACAAATATTTTTATATTGCCTTACAAATACTAAATCACTATTTTGGAATGGATTAAAGTTTAGACATTCCATTTTCAGTCATAGTTCCCATAGGTAAAATTTCTTTCTGCATTTGACCCATCCTTCAGTGCACTTTGGAAAACCTGTCAGCAGTGGGACCCCTCTCCAGATCTTGAGCCAATCTTTGTCAGAACTGTCAACTGAAGGATTTGCGCATATTTTGGGTTGATGGCAGAAATCAAGAGTGCCCAGAGCAAACCCACCCAGACAGGGAGAACATGCAAACCTTGAAGAGCAGTTGAGATTTTTAAGAATAGACATACCAACAAGACAGAGCCAGATATGTTACACTTTTACAAATTGGACTTTTATTTAAGTGCAAATCTACACAGTAGTTTTAAACTGTTGAACATTACAGTAGACAGAACCATCAAGAACTTTGAAGTTAAGTGCTTTATTTTGAATTCTTGAACAGCAAAGATGTTTTCACTCCTTTGAGGCCATGTGGAGAACAAGGTCACACACACGGTTACTGTAGCCAAACTCATTATCATACCTATGGACAGAAATTAAAAACCAAATCAGTATAGAGAAGATACATTTGTAGACTTACAATTTTGTTTTTGAATATTTTACCATGAGACAAGTTTGACAAAGTTGTCGTTGAGGGCGATTCCAGCTCCAGCGTCGAAGGTGGAGGAATGAGGGTCAGAGTTGAAGTCTGTAGACACAACCTGAACAGAGAAAGACCAAGTTTAATTATGTCACTTAGAAGTATGGGAAGACTGACTTTAGATTCTGATATTAGATTACATTTCCCAATACAGAAATGTGTTTGTAAATATCTTAAATCTGCACCATGCAATTTTTTTTGCAAGGGGGTCTGTCACCTGCTTGTTTCTATGGATGTCACTGCACTGCCTGGAATGTTTCACAATATGACAAACATTTGTAATTGAATAAATGTAATGTAGAGGTCGTTTTACAGCTCAAAGATACCTCTGAAAGGAAAAAAAACAAAAACAACACTATGTGCAAGGTTGGCTCTCCACAGATCTGACCTGTAAATTGGTCTGGTTTGGTCTCCAAGATGATAAATGTTTAATACCATATTGTGAAACATTCTAGACAAAACAATAACATCTCCATGGAGAAAAGCATCTGACAGATCCTTCACCAGAAAAGTTATACAATGCACCTTTAAAGAGTATTGCAGTATAGTCTATAAAACTAAATGTAACCATTAACACTGCAGGTTTCTACCACCCTTTCAGATCTTTTGCACTTTTTGGACTGATTAATCAAACCAAAAAGTTGTGTACTGCCCTCTAGACTTTGTGCCAAAGCCGCCTAGGGGTTTCTAAAGCCGTCTGATTACATCTTAAAAGTGGTATAAACCAAAGTATGGTATATTAATAGGTTCTACTAAAGTAAAGTATTATTAACTACCGTTTAACATCTTTGTTAAATCTCTTCAATAACGTTAGTCCAAAATTCTTAAGACAAATTTAGAAAATGTACCAACACCTACACTCAACCTTTCCCCTGATATCTTTTGGTTAATGAACAAAGTACTGACCTGGTCTTCAGTGTATCCCAGGATTCCCTTCATGGGGCCCTCAGAAGCAGCCTTCATCACCTTCTTGATCTCATCATACTTTGCCTGAAACAAAATTTAGGAGAATTCATAAAAAGGCAAAAAGTAAGATCTCCAAAAAGATTTTATCTGATCCTTACGGGCTTTTCCAGGCGCACGGTGAGGTCAACCACAGACACGTTGGGAGTGGGGACACGGAAAGCCATTCCAGTCAGTTTACTGCAGGACAACAGAGGTAAGAGTACTGGAATATTTGAGCCTCATTCGCTGACATTTTGAGTCATTTACCCGTTGAGTTCTGGGATGACTTTGCCCACAGCTTTTGCAGCTCCAGTTGAAGCAGGGATGATGTTCTGAGCGGCTCCTCGTCCGTCTCTCCACTGTTTACCTGAAGGTCCGTCCACAGTCTTCTGAGTGGCTGTGACTGCGTGCACTGTGCTCTATAAATGACAAACAATGAATTTATAACTAAAGACCATTTAGGTGCTCTAACCAGAAATTAAGTTTTAGGGTTTTCCATTGTCAGTGAACAAAATTCACAAACTAAATGTGCTTGGGTGACATGATGAAACAAAACTTTAAAGTCAAATATATATTTTACTAAAGTCATACATCAGTGACTCAGTCGATTGGTAGGCCTGCTCGGGAGAGTTCTCATGTTTCCTTGTGTCTGGGTGCAACCGTTTCAGACTCATTTGGGATAAAGTGGAAAATATATTCTAATTTTGCACATCTTAAATCTAGAATATTTTCTTAAAAAAAAAAAAAAAAAAAAAAAAAGCCTTACTGTGACACTACAAGTAACTGATTTCTGTATTTGAGCGTTATTCTTAAAAAAACAAAACAAATGCAGCTCTTTCTACTCACCATGAGCCCCTCCACAATGCCAAAGTTATCGTTGATGACTTTGGCCAGAGGAGCCAGGCAGTTGGTCGTACAGGAGGCGTTACTATGGAGACCAGATTAAAGTATTAAAAAAATTATTATTTTGAACCATTATAAATGCTACCCCACTTTTAATACATGACCTTCTGATGAGGGGGGGGGGGAAAAAGTAATCTCACCTGACAACTGTCATGGACTTGTCGTACTTCTCGTGGTTCACTCCCATCACAAACATCGGAGCGTCAGCACTGGGGGCAGAGATAATCACACGCTTAGCGCCGCCCTTCAGGTGAGCCTAGGAAACACAGGGTAGGTCAAGTTTAAATGTCAAGTGTCAAAATGATCTTACCCAATAACACACCAAGGGCTGAACCTCCCCATACAAAGCAGGTAGGAGCTCTGACTTTCATTTTAAAAGTGTCAGCACCAGCTTTTCACGCATTTCATCGACATTTGTTGTGCCCCAGTACAAACATTGATAAAAGTAGCTCTTGAGACTGCCTTGTCCCCTCTGCATTAAACTAAAGTTTGACTGTCTGAATCAGGAACTGTGCCATTACTAGAATTATATTATTTGAGAAATTAGGACAGGAATAACTGAACAAACTTAACTCTTATGTTTATATTCAGCCTGACACCATCATTGGACTTACAGAGGCCTTCTCGATGGTGGTGAAAACTCCAGTCGACTCCACAACGTACTCTGCTCCAGCCTCGCCCCATTTGATGTTTGCTGGGTCCCTCCTGTGAAAAAAATGAAACACTGCATTAGGGATGGGCATTCGATGAAATTTTCTTAAATCGATCGTCGGAAGAATTATCCATCCATCCATTTTCGTCCGCTTATCCGGGGCCGGGTCGCGGGGGCAGCAGCCTAAGCAGGGACTCCCAGACTTCCTTCACCCCAGACACGTCCTCCAGCTCCTCCGGGGGGACCCCGAGGCGTTCCCAGGCCAGCCGAGAGACATAGTCCCTCCAGCGTGTCCTGGGTCTTCCCCGGGGCCTCCTCCCGGTGGGACATGCCCAGAACACCTCCCGAGGGAGGCGCCCAGGAGGCATCCGGAACAGATGCCCGAGCCACCTCAACTGGCTCCTCTTGATGTGGAGGAGCAGCGGCTCTACTCCGAGCTCCTCCCGTGTGACTGAGCTCCTCACCCTATCTCTAAGGGAGCGTCGGAAGAATTAACGATTGATTATCGATTAATCATTAACGTGTTTATATTAAAATGATCATCATTATTATTGCTATCTGCACTACTAACCTGCATACATAAATTCAACTTTACGACATATAAACCGTAAGGACTCTAGAGCCACATCAATCCGTTTGAGATTATAATGTGTTTAATTCAGTTTTGCATAACTCACAAAAACGAAACTTAAAACCGCATCGCTAATTTGCAGAAACTAAGCGAAGATAAAACTACAGCTCTTGTGCGCTGATGCGGTCAACTTCTGTTGGATTAAAAGACACGACTCAGTGGAATACAGGTTAGTGTGACCATATTTGCGTTTGTCAAAACCAGGACACCGTACGGGGGGAGGGAGGTGGGGACTCGTCATTGACATTGTGCGATTCTCACCTGGCAAAACTTTTTCCCACTGGACACCGAAACATATGTGCTGCTTTGTACACTGTGCACAAGGACTCACACTTGTCCCGAACGCAACGGAAAGCATGGAATTTCTTGTACAAGTCATCGTTAAATACGCATTTGCGTTGCAGACTGACCGACTGTTTGTGTTTGCTCGCTCCTTCTGAGTGCAGAGAGCTACATGTACGGACCCCTCTTTGGTCACGCTACGCACAGCAACCTACATTCGGTTTGTCGATTAAAATGAACGTAATCGATGAAATTCTTAATGATCAATTATCGATTAATCATGCCCATCCCTACACTGCATGTAGGCTTACTGTCGATTTTTACATTCAAGTTGTTCTAGCAGAGGTGGGTAGCCAAAGATTCTACATTGCTCATCATGTTCATAAAATATTACTCGAGTACAAAGCAGTGGTCCAAGCAATTCTTGTAAGGGGTTTGCGGAAATTACTAGTAAAAGTAATTCTTAGTAACTACTAGGAAGTGACAGGATTTATAATATAAGTTAAGGTTTTGTCCTTCCAGTTGCATTGATTCAGTTTTAAAAACCAGACCTCTAAAATGAGAACTGAATGAGCAGAGCAAGAAACAAGCGTTCAGATTGTCAAAGGTTTGTCAAATATAGCTTTTAAGAAAAAATAAAATCTGGCCAAGAATACGGTTCCTCTAAACAATATTCAAATAAAGTATGCAGTAAATAACACAGTTTTAAACTTACTCTTGGAAGACTGTGATGGACATCTTTCCAATGATCAGTTTTCCATTCTCTGCCTTCACATCGCCTTTCCAGATGCCATGAGTGGAGTCATATTTGAACATGTACACCTAAGAAACAAGGTTAAGTCATTAGCTTTCAACAACAACATAATTCAATGTTTTTAAAAGGTGCAATTCTTAATCTTAAGTATATGACACAAAAAAAAAAGAAAACTTTTTGAACAGCAGCAAAAAAACAATAGGGGAAACGCATTTCACAGGACTTATTCAGATTTTAGAGGATTCTAAAACTTCCCAGTATCAATGTAGTTAGACAGTGAGTCACTCGTGAGCCCGTCCTCACCATATAATCCAGGTTGATGAAGGGGTCATTGATGGCCACCACCTCAATATTTTTTCCACTCACAGCGGCACGGACCACCAGACGACCAATACGGCCAAAACTAAGGAGAGATGAAACAAAAGGGATATTAAGACTTGACATTAGTAAATGCAATGTATCACGTTTTATAACATTATAGAGGAGAGAAAACCTATTCCAACATAATTAAAAAGAATACAGGCCTTTGAGAAAAAGATGCAAAAAGGGCTTATTGAGGGGAAAAAAAAAAAAAGTTTTAAAATTATATACTTTATTTTACACTTCACTAGGAGAAATTCTGGTCAAGTGTCTGTTGAAGTTCTGTTTTTAAGCAAGTCCAGGGGTCCAGACATGTGCTGATATCTTGAGTCAAGTCATCCCCAAATTACGCATCCGACAACCCAAGTTTCAAGTAGTGCTGCTGAGAGTCCAGAAGATGGCAGTATACAACCACATTTCCTCCTGTCTGGTACTGCGCATCCACAGGGCCCATAGAAGGTCTGAGGGGGAACAGTGACAGGCAGAAGAGTTCAAACCAAATATGGACCAGGACCAGTGAATGGAACTCCGATTAAGAGAAGCAGCGCCCAGGGTCATTTGCAGGGCTTTGGTTAAGGTTATATGAAGACTAAATCTTAAAGTTATGACACAAGATGAATGGTCTAGGGTTTTGGGGGAAAAAAAAATATATCTAAAGGTGTGATAAATTTAGGATTACCATTGGTCACTAATGCAGAAACCAGTCACATCGGGCCCCACTTCCTGCCACTCTTTGCAACACTTCCTAGTTCTCTTCCTCATGTTAAGCCCCGCCTCCTCTCATTGTTGTGTTTGGCATAGAGCCTGAGGCCTCCAGGTTACACATGCGCAAAAATGTTCCAAGTTTTCTTCCCCTGTGTCTGTTTACCTAGCACAGGCACTGACTTGATGCAATAAAAAAAAAGAGTGACTATCAGCACTGAGCCAAACTTAAATGGTCAGTAACTGGGTTGAGTCTATTTCAAGCGGACGTGACAAAGCTAACCACAATCTTTAGGCCAATTTGCATCTCCTCTATGACCTTGAATGACCTTTGAGAGTAATCTGCAACTTTAAAAAGGCTGTGTACAGGTTTGCAAGTATAATGGGCAGGATCGAAGGTACCATTTTATTTTTAACCAAGCTATTTTGCCATCCAAGTAAAATGTGTAATTTTACAAAAGCTTAAGATTCTCTGTAGCCTTGTCACAATGGAAATAGTCTAGTGTTTCAGAGTATAGCATTAAACTTGTATCTATAGGGAGCACACAGGTAATGTCACCAGGTCATGTTACTGGTCAGGTGTGCGGAGTTGACCCCGCTCACATTAAAAAAACATTTCAAGACATCCTTCAACAGTAGAATCACCTCTTAATTGAATAAATGTAAGGTAGACTAGTTGAATGCTGTGGGACATTCCAGAAAAGTGCATGGTTAATTTTAAACCCAATTTAGGTTGTCATGGTTGGTCAAGTTCTTCTGCCAAACTTAAATCTCTTGTAGAAAACAGCTGCTTCACCGCTGCACGTGAACAGAGCCTCGGACAATCTCTCAGCATTCAACATGTTGGGAGTAAAAATAGAACAGAACAACAGGAATGTGGCAGCTGAAGAGACAAGAGGGATGAGAGGACGTGACAGAGCACCATAAGTCTGAACGCACTAGAAACTGTTTGTACGATGATGCTTGAATACAATTTATGCTCTGTCCCAAACTTTCTAGTAAACTGAGGGTGAAAAAGTAAATATGAGATGGCATAGTCTATAGGCCACTGCAGTTAAAAGTCTTATTACACAAAATTGACTCTTGTGAGCCTGAAAGCCATGTTATGTTTTTGAAAAGGTAACAACATATCAGTTATGTTTTGTTTCATTCACACATGTTTGAGTAATCCTTTATTGCTAGTCTGTCTACATCAAAGCTCAAAATAGTCTGTTCCACCTTGTGATGTCATGAAGCGGTATCTTAAGATTACCTTTAGTTTAGTAAAGATGGGCAAATCCAGGGCTGAAATTATCCAAATGATTCTTGTGAAGGTCTACGTAATTTAAACACTAGAGTACTTCCTGTATTATCACATGACATCACAAGGTGGAACAGAATGGTCAGAGTTTGAGAGAAGAACTCAGCCTAGATATGCATGGCTTGTGTGTTAAAATGAGTAAATGAAACTAGACACAACTCCAGGTGTGTTTTTGATGAAAAACATAACATAAAATCAGAAAATAGTGTGATACAAAGTAACTGAGCCATGAGCAGTGCCCAGGGGACCCCATCTCCAGACCTTGAGCTAAGATTAGTCTCAAGTACCCCACCTACCATGTTAAAGGTTAATTTGCAATGTCAAAATGCAACCTCAAAAGTTGGGCAAGTGTCAAGTCTTTTTCTCAAGAGGCTCACTGCCAACACTGCTTTTTATCAGTTGCTTAATTAAATTTTTTAGAAGTCACTGAAAGTCAAACAAGATCATCCAAATTCTACAGTAATACAACTCTTGGCATACTCAGAGACAATTCAATTTTAATTTCTTTGCTGTAGGCATCTCATTTATTTATGTTCTACAGAGTCTACCTTAACTTTGTACTAAGGAGAACTAATACATTTTTGTTGCATGTCAACACTGAGCTGTAAATTTATATAATTATGTGTAATAATTAACTTAAGAGCTTCACTGATATATTTATTGCAGCTCACGTTTCATTCACAGTATACTTAGTTAATTTGAAAGGGTTGTACAGGGAATGTCCTTGTAGGAGCTCTTGAGTCAGTGGAATATAGTGGTTTGCTTTCATCATGAGTCACCAAGACGTTTTTAACAAGGCTGTGCGATTCAGCACGTCTTCATCCAGTTCTTTGACTCATTTCAAAATTTCAGTAAAAACACGTGGACTGGAGCTCTGACTTTATGGAGGAATACGTTTCAAATATGACGCTTTTGTGCAGGCCAAATTACAATGAAAGTGGTATTTAGTTTCAAATTGACGCAATCTTAAATTTAAATAACAAAAGTTCCACTACCTGCATTGATTAAGATATAACACTAGTATTTAAGTGCATATTACCAGCTAGACTACCAATTTCACATAACATTAGTACTTATTTTAGATTTAACTAAAGACATTTTGCCTAGTTCTCTCTAGTTCTACAATTTTGGCTAAGTTTACGACCTTGCTTCCTCATTGGAGCTACACATGTGAGGAAACCTAGCAACCATTCCATTCATTCTGTGTCACAAGGGGCTTTGGCAAACAGACACTAGAATGCCTGCCAAATTTACACAATAGTTACTTGACAAATATTAAACACCTTATTTATTTAGTCAATTAATAATTTAACAATAGAAAACTTTGTTCAATTCGGTTTTGCCTGAAATATGTAGGAAATCACACATCCTGTTTCATCAGGTTTAATAGAACGCAACTTCCTGTCCTATTCAACCTAATCTTTTCTAGCATTTCATCACAAACTGCCACTAATTTGGTAGAACAAAACTGATATTTATTTCAACAAAGGTGTAAATTATCCAGCCAAAAAAGTAACTGGCAACACGTGAAAACCATATGCAGTTTCAGCAAGGTTTTCTGCAAGTGGAAAAAAATTATGATGAATAATTAGGACCGTTGCCATAGCGACAAACTTAAAATTAAAATCTTTAGAAAATGAAGGTCCTAAAAACGTTATAACGGTCAACTGAAAAGCATGAATACAAACTTTCTACACAGTTAATGTTTGAATAGGCGCCTTCACAAACTCTTACCTAGCATCTCAAAAAGCAAAACACAGGAAAATATAACAATTCTGTTTTGGTATAAACATATTTGTTGTTATTAAAGAAATGCAACCACAAAAGGTTATCAAACTGGAAATGCGGGATCGGATTTGGGAAGGTCATATTGTAGTAGGCTAGCTATACAATTAAAAATTTAGGCCTAGATTGCATCACAGATAAAAGACATCCCTTTTTGTTAACGATCGTGCTAAATTTAGAAGATTTGGGACTAATAATTTACTTAAAACAACTTGAGATTTGAATACAAGTGTGCATTGTTAGCAAATGATGATGCGAAGAACAAACCTGAACAGTTACATAATTTTTTTTTTTTTTTCTGTAAAACAGGTTTGCCAAATAAGCGTTCTACTTACCCATTAATTCCAATCTTCACCATTTTGTCAGATGAGATTTATTCTGTAAAAAAAAGAAAACCAAAATTTTTCCTTTTAAACAAATTCTTTTCAAAACCCGGAAATTGTGGAGATGCAAAAACCACGAGGCTTCAGTGAATCAACTGTTGCGCAGAAACGCCATGCGCAATATCAAAATACGCACGTAGTCTTTAGTTTTGTCCAACTTTAACCAAACATTAAGTTCAATGCAGAAAAAGTGCTAAAAGTACCGTATAGTGAAGGCACGTCGGTACGCTGGTCCTGTCCGGAGGAGGAGGAGACGGGGGGAGAGCAGAGCAGACGCCGGGCTTTTATTGCTTTGGAGTCGGACACGTCACGCCCATCTCAAGGTCGGAAGATCTGCTGCCACCAAGTTCAGGAAGAAGCACAACAACTGTATTAAAAGGGGTTTAATCGTCTATAAATGCAATATTAAGCAACACAAACAACTTTGAATTGCAGAAAACACGTTGTAATTCATGCAGGTTACTTTATTGTACTTTTTGTAGGCTTTATGTCTCTATTTCTACATCTTTGTGCCCCCTGGTGGTGCTGAAGTGGTGGTACACAGATGCCCTTCCCATGTAGAAGCAGCCATCTTCATGAATTTAGGCTATAAACATATACATTTGGTGAAAAAAAGTTGACTAAATCAATCAATCAAACTTTATTTGTGGAGTACTTTTCATAAAAAATGTAACATAAAGTGCTTAAAAGCATAATATAAAGCATATTATAGGTCCTTAAAGGTGCATTAAGTAACTTTTCTTTTTAGTCAAAATGTTTTTATTGTTTAAAAACTATCAAATATATAGATACACATACATCTAGTAGGTAAACTCACAGATGTCACAATTCTGCAGAGTTGAAAATAAAAAATAAAAATAAAACATCCAAAATTCATGTCCCTCACCAGAACCACATGACAAATTAAGTAACTTTTCTTGTGGAAGGTTCACTGTATGCATGTCTCTGTGGGATGTTATTTCTTTGCCTGAATGTCATTAAACTTTAATACCTTCCTGAAGACAAGCAGGTGTGCCACCAGCCAGGCCAGGTTAAGAAAGGTGACTCCCTTTCTATAATAATGCAATAGAAACACATATAATTGAATAAAAGCAAGATAGATCAGTTTAATAAAAGAACAAAACTACACACAAAACTGGACAAAAGCAAGAAAAAGTTACACAGGACACCTTTAAATATGTGCTGCCATTAGATTGTGTTAGGTTATGGGATAGTGTCAAGCCAGTCTGAATAAAGATAGAATAATACAAATGTTTTGGTTTAGTGGACCTAGAATAAGACCAGCTGTGCCAATGTTTAATATATGGACAGCCTGTTTTCTCATTTTGCAATCATAAAACGCCTATTGCTGTTGTGTATAGGCCCACAGTATGTTTAGTAATCAGTAGCACCTTCACTCATTTTATATGTAGCCAAGAGAATACAGTTTTTGTTGAATGAGTGTCGTTAAGTCCAAGTTGTTCCTGCTCATTTTTCCACAGTGTCCACAGAGCAGAGCAGAGCAGAGCAGATTAGATAAAACATCTCTTTTGTGTGAGTTTGTGAGTGTTATGGTGAAACTCGTATTCAGACTAACCGGTGTGTGCCCTATCAGACTCTGGAGAGATGGGGAAACCAAGTATTCACTGCAGTGTTTAATTAAGTGACATTTGACTAATATTACATAACAGCTGTAGAGTAATTTACTGAGTCAAAGAGGAAATCCTTTCAGTTAATATTAACTGAAGTTTAGCATTAGAGGTAAGTTTAGTTTTATTATAGTAAAAGACAGTCTCCATGCATGTCATTGCTATCCCTGGAATGTTCCACAGTACCGTAATAAATACATTTCCATGGAGAAAAGAGGACGAAAGCCAAGTTACAAGATCTGGGAGAGATCATGTAAAATACATTTCCAAGGTAAAAAACAAATAAACAAAAGCACTTGAAAATGGATCAGTGCAAGATTAAAATGTATGTTTGATGTAATACTGTGGACCAAAGCAAAAACATTCCCATAAGAAAAGTTACATACTGTATCTTTAAGATGCACAGCTTGTTCTTGCTATGGAATTTGGATGACAGGGATTGTACAGGCATTAGACATGTGGTAACAGCCCACACTTGCATGTGGTTGTTACATACTTGGGTTTTGCAGAATATCTTTCAATTTATTCTACATTCAATTAAAATTCAGAAATACATAATGCCTATAAGATCCCACTTTTTCTCAACTAGACCATAATATTCCCACCAGTATTTGGTTTAAACTCCACATGTTTTGCTGTAACCTTTCTATGTCTGACAGATGACTGTGGCATTTCTGACTTCAGCTCTCTCTGCAGTGTCTGTGATGAGACAGAGACTGGAGACTGGGGTCAAAGGTCAAGAGATGATTTAAAATCAAGGTGAGAGGAGAGAGAGGGTTATCAAGATTAGATTCAGGATTTCAACTCTGTAAATCAGCTCATGGAACATTTAAACTATTAAACTATTTAGTTGCAAAATGAGTTCTCAAAAATGTAAAAAGTAAAGTATTAAGAGTATGTTAAGGCAGTCATATGAACCAGGTTTTAAATTTGTGTTTACTTTCATCCAGAAGTTTCTTTGTCCCAGCGTGTCTTGACAGGCTCATAAAGTATACGCCCAAATGAACAATCACAGTTATGTGGCGTTTAATTCACTGTACAGAAGAGTGCACAGAACAGTATGGCAACACAACAAGCCCTGTACAAAAGAATGTACCATCACTGTAGAGTTACAGCAGGACGCTGCAGTCTGTGCTATGATCAGGCAGATCATGTTTCCAATATAGTCAATAGGTTAATCAAGGTTGAACCCACAGTGAATGTAGAACACAGTGCTATGGCGCCCTCTAGTGGGGAACAGATGACAATACTAAAAACAGCAAGATATAATGACTTGTCAACATTATGCATACTAGATTTCTCTTTCAATGTGCATTTAACTTATAGTCTATAATGTTGATAATAATCTGGTACTTAAGTGACAGCGTCCTGGTTCAAACCTGTTTAGTTTATTTATTTGTTGTTTATATGAATAGGAACAAATACAACAAACATAGATTAACAATTAAATAATTCAATGTGCATATCACAGTGTTTATAACCTAGGCTCATTTGCAACATCAGTTCCCTGAAGGTCTTATAAAGTGTTTCAAAAAATAAATACAGTGAATTTGTCAAGAGATTAGTAAGAAGCCTCAGGCCAAGCAGGTTTAGGGTCAGTGTTTTGGTTTGATTTTATTTTAGCCACTGTGCTGTGCTCAAATGATACTGAACAGAATTCTATTGGACAATGCTAGTTTACAAACAAAATGTCTTGAACCATTACTTTGAATTTATACTTGAGTAATATTAGTTTTGTGCATTTTTGTATACTTTACTGACTTCTGATTATAGTGTAGTGCTATCACATGTCTTCCTCCTCTCTTCAGATTTCTCATTATGATTGTGTTATTTTTGTCAGAAGGGGGAGCCCACGCCCTTGTCCTGTCCCCTGAGACCTACTGGCCTCCACAGCCGCAGCAAAGCATCATGGGAGATCTGGCAAGGGCTCAGGTGAGTCTATGAGAGAGATGAGAACAGAGACAGAGACTGAGGGGGGCCAGTCCATTCATTATTCATTCACTCTGACGCCCTTTCATTCACAAAGAGAAAGAGGTTTAGAAACAGGGACGGATCAATTGTGATAGTCTTAAAATAAAAACGAGGGTTTTCAAAAGTATCAAAAATTGGATACTAATCAATACTACAACTATTATTAAAGCTAGATACTCATTTGAGCAGGTATCGATATACTAAAAAAGTCACCTTCTCAGGACAAAAACGAACCTTACCTGAATAGTTTTAGAATGAGTTGTTGAGCTGTATCAGAACAAGTATAAGAGTACATAGACTAGTATACGCCCATGGAAGACTATGGAACCTACCTGGACCACTAAGGGATTACACAGATGTAAGGCCACATGGGAATAGAAAAGAAAGTACTTTGAATTGAATTAAATTGTGTTTTTTGTTATCATCGTGGTATAGGAATTGGAATCGGAATACTGAGTATTGAGTTTATTCCTTGGTATTGATATTGGGTCACTATTAGAAACTAAAAATAATCAGGTAAGTTAAGACTAAGTTGACAAAGTTCTTGTGTTGTATTGTTGTAATTTTTTTTCTATAATCGAGTAGCCCTTTCTGTAAAGCTGCAATGTGTTTTTTAGTGAAATGTCTGCTACCCGCTTGTCTCCATCCATCCATATTCTTCTGCTTATCTGGGGCCGGGTCACGGGGGCAGTAGCAGCAGGGACTCCCAGACTTTCTTCACCCCAGACATGTCCTCCAGCTCCTCCTAGGGGGACTCCGAAGCATTCCCAGGCCAGCCTTCCTCGGGGCCTCCTCCCAGTGGGACATACCTGGAACACCTCCAGAGGGAGGCGCCCAGGAGGCATCCGGAACAGATGCCCGAGCCACCTCAACCGGGTCCTCTTGACGTGGAGGAGCAGCAGCTCAACTCCGAGCTCCTCCCATGTGACTGAGCTTGTCACCCTATCTCTAAGGGAGCACCCAGCCACTCTGCGAAGGAAACTAATTTTGAACGCTTGTATCTGCAATCTTGTCCTTTTGGTCATTACCCAGAGCTCATAACCATAGGTGAGAGTAGGAACGAAGCTTGAAGGTAAATCGAGAGCTTTGCCTTTCGGCTCAGCTCCCTCTTCACCACAACGGTACAGCGACCGCATCACTCCCGATGCTGCACCGATCCGCCTGTCAGTCTCATGTTCCGTCCTCCCCTCACTCATGAAAAAGACCCTGCTTGTCTCCGTGGAGATGTTTGTACTTTCTTTGCCTGGAATGTTCCACAGTATGGCCTTTAACGTGGCATTTTCCATTGAGACAAGCAAGTGACAGTGAGCCAACCCACCAGGCCAAGTTAAAAGTCAGATCTGTCACGAAGCAAACCCAAACACAGTTAAGAAGAAATCGTTATGACAACAAAAATGTGTATTTGGATAAATGTTCCCTTCTGCTCTCTGCGTCACTACCCCTTCAGAGCGTCACCACAGCACAATCAGCGTGCCTCCTGCTAATGAAACAACTGCACATCGCATCAGGTTTGTCAAATTGTCGTGCACAGTTTTGCATCATGTTTTTGTATACTTATGGAGAATTGTCGTGTGTACTCAAACAAGCATGGATGACATCTCCAAAAATCTCTACAGGCAAGTTTTTGATGAGGGAACAACCTTATGTGGCAAAAAGTTCCAAAAGCCTCATAGTTGTTAGGATACCCCCCATATAAAAGAACAGCCTTGTCCTATTATCTGAATGCACTCCCCTCT